GCCTCAACTGGGCACGAACCCTCACAGCTATTTCTCAAAATATTGGTAAAATTTTAGTTAATCTATCACAAAGTATATATTTATAATATTTGAAGTATCCCAGCCAGGTGGCTGAAATTATGCTGTTTGTGTACGAATCATACCTCTCCCGGCTTGGCTGGAACCCTTTCATGCCCGTGGTGCCCGCGTCATTCATTTGCTTGCCAAATTGGGAGGCTGAGCCATCTTTCTCACGGTCCATGTTTTCTACCTCGAGTTGCTTGCGACAACTCCTAAAGCTATTACTAGTACTGGGGGCCTGCTTTGCTTCTCATAAATCGCTCAGTGCTCAGTCCCACAGAGCTCTTGGGATAAAGCTCGTCTCGTAATCTGTTACTCTTGCCTCGGATCGATAACATCTAATAGACAGACTGCGGCTTAGAGTCTTTTCCGTGTAGGCGGAATACGAGAAGTTCATACACTATGAAGTATATTGACAGCTTCAACTCTGTGAACACAGCTCAATCACTTGATGAAATGAATCAGACTCGCTCAGATTTACTGATTGTAATAAATATGAGGATTCAGTAGAAAGTGGTCAATGTCGAAGAGAAACGCTTCTTTGGTGTGTGTATATATCGCAAGTAGACGGAGCTTGCATCTCCGTTAACGCGTTTCACCGCAAAGGTGAGCACCGGTGAGCCTTTGACAATCCAATTATCGAAGTGAAACTCACCCGCACATACTGTTTCTTTTTTTTTTGCATCGATGCGTCACCCCATCAGCCTTCGAGGCAATACCTTTTTCTTCCGGTGACTGCAGTTAACAAAATCCTATTTGAATGCTGGACGTTGACCCATGCTGTAATACTGTTCAAGGAAATACATTTTCCAAACTTCTTGGTTCGAAGTGCAGTCCGCGCCCTTCTCGATCGCATAGACGGCGACAATTAACCTCGAGGCAGTTATCAAGTCATTTCCTCAGGTGTCCAATTGCAATGAGATGTGCATGCGTAATCTCAGTGATCAAGTTACAAGCTCTCATCCAGATCGTTAAAGTCTTTTACCCTATGGTCAATTACGACCATGCCTGGGAAATAATATTGGTCAAAGCTCCAGCCGTGCAGAGTCAAAGCGTACTTGCTAACAATGCCAGGGTATAGTTTCTAGGTCTTTCCTTGTTTGGGCTAGCATAATAGTGGTCCAGTCACCACGCACATCCAAAAACATGTCCACTACAATGGTAACCACTGCATTGGTCGTTAAAGCGTGTTGGTGCGTTCACCGGGCCCTTTTGCTTATTCTCGCTTATCGTGTGGGTTGCAAAAGCTAGCCACTCTGTCCTTCGTCAAAGCTATCTTCTACCTTACTATAAGATGCCACTGTTAGCTTTCTGCGACTTTCCAGGTGCAACGCCCACTCCTAAGTACAACTTCTCCAGAATATCTTATAATTAATCCTCGTATCCTTGAGCGCTATGTTATACTCGTCGAACAACGACACGAACCAAATTACCGGTCCCTTGTGGATTAATGACTTGGGATGCTACGACCCTGGCGTTGGCCCTCAAAGCTCCGTCAATATCAAATCACGTCAAGGTGCCCAAATGCCACCTACGCTAAGATTCGACAAGGAGATGAACGCTATTGATGGGCTATTGTACAGCATGGCCTCTCAAGGTTATAGTGGACAAATGGGTTCCACTCTCGCAGAAGGGACATGCACTGCGTTTCCATCCGAAATCGGGTAACATAATGTTGCTTTTAGTATTATATGGGAATAATTTTCTTACCGCTTCATTTGCAGGATTCGGGGGGATCTCCTAGATTTCGAAGAAGCATTTGATAACTCATTGATTCCCCGTGGTTTGCATATGCGGGGTGATAGGCTAGCACAGGAGGACATCATGCTGTGTGTATCTGTTTTCGTGTGATATTGATATTCACTCATTAACATTTATAATACAGGGGCGGCTTTGTTGATAAGACACAGCAGCAGAAGCTCTTTTCCTCCGAGTCTTCTTCTCCGAGGTATATATTTTACCCTCAGTGATGAATACACAGTTTACTGAATATCTTTTGCCCACAGGACATCACCATCTCAGATGTATTCCAGACCCCAATCGAACGTCTTGTCTGTTTTTCCTCAACTTCACTCGTTCAGTCCTCCAGTAAAGGATTTACCACCTTATCCTGGACTACCATCTGGCGCGGGGTACAATCAAGTTATCTATCCTACACTCTCCTCCACTCAAACGTCCGCCAAAGAGTCGTCCTGGGCTCCTCTAGCTTATCACTATGATAGCGCTCAAGACAAACGGCTGATGTCTTATATGGCTCCTTCTGCCCCTGTCATTCCTTGGTCTAGGTCGTGCACCATCAATCACGGCTTCCCCTATTTCACTGCAGACCCTGTCACGTCATACTTTTCAAAGGATTCCTCCCCGCTTTCTGTTCATCAGTCTTATCCTCCATCCTGCAGGGATTTTTTTTCAGCTAGCTCCTCCGAATTCACGGCACCTTCACACTGCAGTGTGCCTACAACTTCAGGTTCTGTAAACCATCTCGATTGCTGTGGCTTTTCGCCACTTCTCTTCCCACCGTACCTTCCCTCATCATCTCAATGCAGCATACCTAACTTTCCTACTACCTCATCTCCCAGTGATGAAATAGATGCTGAGGACATGAATAATGTTGCTATATACAATATCGATGGTCATCACCTCGCTGGACCACAGTGGTCTCCGGATATCGAACCGTCAGCGGGATTTAAGCGTCGTCGCGGCAATCCTGTTATTGTACTCGATCAATGCACCGCTTGCGTTTCAAAAGACGAAAAGGAAGAGGCGCACTCACCATTACTCCAAAATGGAAAGATGTTCATCCGCCCTTGTCAATGGAAGGACAAGCCATGCGGCATGTGGATAGGTATTACCAAGGCTCGAGTCAGAGCTCACTTCAAGGCCCATCATGGTGTCGTTGAAGGCAAGAGAGGTGGGGCTGCAACAGAATTATCTAAACATTCGGAGAAGCTTCGAACATGTCGTTGGAGCGGATGCGATTACCCCAAACCGATGGTTTCTACAAGTCTGCTACGACACATCGTCAATACCGACCACTTCGGGATGAAGTATAGGTGCAGCAATTGTTCAACAGACGTAGTACGCTTGGATGCTTTCATGGCCAGGCATAAAAAACGATGTCCAGGGGCCAAACCTATATTAATCTCGGATGCACCTCGTATTCCCAAAAGGCTTGGGTGGGCCACAAAGAAAATGCGCATACAGTAATAAACATTCATTGTCACTTGCTTTCACTGATTCTAGTCAGTTATCTCAAGTTGTGTTCTTTTCGTAAGCTATTCCTAACTGTGACGTCTGTAAGTTGTCATTGATTGATGTGTTCTATGCCGCCCGAGGTCTTACACATTGATTGTGATCGATGTTATCGGCTCTCCTTTCGCAGTATTATCCCACTCTTTCTTGCGTTTCACACGTCCATTACTATATCTTTAGTCATTCTCACTCTCAAGTTCATCGATCATCCACTCATTTACTGTATCGGTTTTCTCGCTGTCTCATTTCTATCAGTTGTCATCTTCGCGTATGATAATTCTACGAGATCAGGGATGTCTGTCTTCCTGTCAATTATGGTCTGCTTAAAGGAGATAATTCCTGCCTGATATACTGTCGTTACAAAATTGTTGATATGGCCGGAAGGTGCTATCTCTGATCCCTGGCCCCCCTTATTTCAAATAGGTACATGAAGGCTACGCTTGTTAGCTCCTGTTCGATAAAATGAGGGAGCACGAAACGACGAGTCATGAGACTGGACACATTCTGCAAAGTGTTAATTCTTGAACAAGCCGTCAACACGAAGCTTTAAATGTCCCACCTCACTAGATAAACCCTCGTTAGACGTACTTCGGCTTACTTCTTCCTCTGCGAGAAAAGCTTGTGATGGCCACCCCGCATTTTCTGACTCGTTAACATTTCCATGAATTGCAGCTTATCGGCCCTTGACAACTTGTGTTCATCTATCCCTAACTTTTCCAATAATTCTGTGATTTCATCGGCATCTTCTCCTTCTCCTTCTTCTTCGTCGTCTTCGTCGTCTTCGATCCTCAGATCTTCGGCCTTTTCTTTCTCTATTTCCTCCCAAATTTTGTCTCGAATCATAGTTCTCTCTTCATGAGAGGCGTCCTTATAGAGCATCTGGACGATAACGGTCACGTCGTTCTTTTTCATCCCATCAAGTTTGGCCGACGATATGACAACAGACGCAACCACTACGTTCGTAGTAATTTCTGTTATCTTTTTTGAGGTGAACTGGTATGAAAAGAAGTCCGTGTCAATCCTTTTTACACCACCCAAACTGCCTGTGGATATAGTATACGTAGAAGTCGATGATTGATTCGCTGAATAGTTCCCGAATAAGATATCCAACGCAGATCCCGCGATCTTTGTTATGCCTGGGAGCTTGTGTGCAGGAGATAAACAAGGTTGGTATAATCAATACAAGAAATCATACATACTATTTCTCCAGAGATGAACCCGCTCAAAGCACCTACAGGCCGGGTAATCTGTGAACAACTACGAGCAAGATAAATGAGGATGAAACCTCACCTGATATAGCAGTACTGATAGCCTGCGGGTCATTAGTTACACCAAGCTGCATGAATTGATATTCATGAATGATTTTGTTGATGGGGACACTTTTGGAATCCTCCTCTGATCGTATCTTCTCTCGAAAACTCTCCTTGCGCTCATTTGCAAGGGCAACGAGGCTGTTGATTACATCGTTAGCTCTTCTTTGCTTGTCATTATCTGCAAATTTGGCGAAGCTCGACGCTGCAGTACCCATGATGAGATTGTTAAAGCGGGAATGAACCTACGACATGGAAAAGCATCAAGCAAGATATTTTATATCTTTCAGGGAAATGATTTACAGTCAGTTCAGCCAACACAGGTCCACCTGACGGCCCAGGTGAATAGAGCAATCAGCCGCAAGGCAGAAAAGTGAGATAAGCATATCAGACAGACAAACACGAATTTTCGGACAATTGTGATTGATCCTGAGAGCAAGCCGGATACAGTACAAACGACAGCCTAATGAGGAACTTGTCTTGGAACACGACGGTTGGATGCGAAGAGAAGATAATATAGATCCAGATGAATAGAGCTTCCCGTCGAGCCCTCAGGCGGAATACGGATACTCTGGCGGCTGGAATGTATCGAGTCATATCCCTTAATCCCCACATAAAAACGCCACTCACGCTGAGACGAAGGAAGCACTCAGAACAGATACATTTAACACTGATCTGGAGCCTCTTGACCAAACCAAGTACTTGAAAAAAGGATGAGATTGCATAAGATAGTATAAGCTCGACACCACATATAATTACGCAAGTTGAGCCCTGAAAATGCCAGTGTTACACAACAAACCACGTGCGTATATAGCAATTGGTCGACTCGAATATCCAGTATTCTGCTACAATATCTAGTGTATAAGCGCTGAAAAGTAATGTTCAATGCGAAGAAGGAAAACTCATCTTCGACAACGTGTTGTCAAATGGCCGAGAAAAAGAGAGAAATATGGAATTGGCCTGTTCAGCTGGTTCGATCGCAGTTAGAATCGATGCCGCTGTTCCCAGAGCGTAATCGTTGCTTTGGACCCTTGAAGTTTAAAGCTATGCGAGGTCTTCTGACTATTGAGTTCAATTCAAGAGAAGTACCTGCCCACCGAATGTTCGAAAGCTGCATCATTCCCGGGCGCAGTGTTTTATAGCTTGATATCTATGCGATCAATACAATCTTCTTTTGGCATTGATATGAAATGATAAAGCATAGTTTGGTACATACTGGAAATTTTGGCTTGGCCTGATTTAAGTCACCATTTGACTGCGGTGAAAACACGTCTGATGATCCCTTATCTATCCGTACACGGGGCTCACACGTGTATCGCACCCTTGACAGCTGGCTTGGAAGGACATGAATTAGTCGCAATGATACTGATGTTCATGTCACGGTCAAAAACATGAGGGTAGTATCACAAGACAGGGGCGTGGTAAGGAAGGTCAGCTCTGCCGGGATTTACCGGGATTAGTATTACCAGTCGTTCAAGTTCTCTCTTCTTGCCAGAAGGGACTTGCGAAATAACACTAACGCTGCATACTCCATATATAAGCTCACAGTAACATGGGCGTACCCGTATTCCAAGTTATCTCCTCCTATCAACTGCATTTGTTCTCCTCATCTATTATCTTTCATCATGGGCCAAGCTTTAGCTGTCGTTAAAGCTGTCCAGAGTTTTGATGATAAGTCCGAAGGAGAAAAAGAAGCTAACGACGCGCTGAACTGCCTTGTCACCCTCGCTCAAAATCGTTTAGACAGGTTCTACAGACGTATAACTTCACCTCAGTACGATCCCAAGACGATCCCTATCAGTAAGGTTCTTTACCGCTACCAGTTCTTCCGCTGTGGCGTAGACAAGAATACAGCTTCAGTCAAGGAGGCAATCACATGTATGTTTTATCTATCCAGCTTGTATAAGCGGTTAGCTAACTTAATCGAAGCATCTCTTGGAGACTTTGCCACTGGAGATGTAGTATGTAACTCGAATGGGACTTTGCAGTCTCATCCTAATTCGAATAAATATTAACAGGTAAAAGGTTTGACAACACTCGCCAACTCATCCCTCGACATTCTCTTTGATAACTATAATGCAAATCAATCTTCGACTACTACCTACGCCATTTCTGTGGGTAAACTCGGCGGTATATCAAGGCTGGACGCAGATTTCTACTCCTACCAGTTTACATCAACAGATCTGCAAAAGGTCACCAAAAACGTCGTCGTGTGTTCTGTCGTCATATCATCTGTCGACGTTCTTACTCTCGATGCCAACGACATCACTAACATCGTGGAAACATGCTACGCGGAAGCGGATAAGGGGGTTCAAGAACAAATTCGAGACCAAATACACAAGGAATGGGAAGCAGAGAAGGAAGAGGCGAAGGAAACGAGGAAAAAGCAGCGCAAGGTGACGAAGTATAACTATATGTAACTATCTCTCAGGCTTGAAGCTTGAAGGGCAACTCTCCTGCTCCCTGCTTTGTACTCGAATAATAATTATACCTCGCAACTGTAAACAAATACCGGTACTTATTGGCATGATTTCGATGAGTCTGGATATCAGCGGAGATGTCGCTCTGATAAAATGTAGTTTTGGTGATATTGCCGCGTTTAAATTTGTCTACCGCGGCTCACATGTGCTCATAGTGCTCATTGATACTGGCGCTCAGACTGCCACTTAATTTTCACCAGCTCAGACGTCTCCTCAAATATCTTGGCCAAGGCTTTCAGCCGTATCAAACACGCTTGCAAGTTATGAATATAATCTGGTCGATATTCTCTGCTGTCTTTGCATAATCAACTGTGGAGGCCTGCTTCGACGTTTTACCGGCCCGTTCTAAAGATTGCTTAAAGATCGTTCCTTATCATGTGCAAGAGCGTGCAATGGATAATATTGCTTCCTGGGACTGCAGCTACTGTATATAGGGTCCAATAACGCTTACGCATTGACCATGGCTTCCCTTGATATCGATCAAGTCCGTTCCAGTTTTCCCGCTCTGAAATCAGGTTATCTCTTTGGCGACAATGCTGGGGGCTCCCAGACTCTACAATCCGTCATAGATCGTATCACCGATTATCTCTCCAACACTAATGTTCAACTCGGTGCTGATTATTTAGTATCTGTGCAATCTACCCAACGAGTCGCAGATGGTGCAGTCGCAGCTGCTCAGCTTTTCAATGCCGCATCCTCAGATGAAGTTGCAATGGGACCCAGTTCGACTATGCTCTTCGAGAATCTTGCAAGAGCGCTAGAAAACGAGATCCAGGCTGGAGACGAGCTTATCATCACCGGTGAACACGAAGGTATGTCTCGTCGACATCATACCAATGCTCGTACCTACTCTCTTTCAAGCAAACAATGGTGGCTGGAAGAGGTTAGCAGTTCGTCGTGGAGCTATAGTCAAAGTTTGGCACGCAACTCCCACAGACCCAAACAACCCTTATTCTGTCAGCCTCAAAGTTGAGGAACTACTTCCGCTCATCTCGAACAAGACTAGGGTCATCGCATTTACAGCTTGCTCCAATATTCTTGGCTCGGTCGTTCCTGTTGAAGAAATAGTTAAAGCTGCCAGACAGCATGCTAAAGAACAGGGAGTCAAAAAATTGGAAATCTCCGTGGACTGTGTGGCGTATGGACCTCACCGACGCATTGACGTCCAGAAATGGGACATCGATTACTGCGTTTTTGCTTTCTACAAGGTACATTTTCGACCGTCACAACTCTCGAATGTATCACTGAACTGACATGGTATAGCTTTATGGTGCACACCATTCGGCCCTTTACGTGCGTTCACCAGCACTGAAGTTCTCTCTCACATCGCTTGCACATCACTTCCTTCAAGTTGACGACAAACCGTACAAGGTGCAACCAGGTGGGCCTGGTTATGAGCTTGTATATAGCGCAACCGCAGTACCTGCCTATCTCCTTTCTTTGACACCTGCGAACGACCTCCAAGCTTCTTTCGATGCCATTGCTCGGCACGAACAGACACTTATCAAACCACTGATTACGTTCCTCACCGACCCAAAGCAGGAAGCTCAGGGTGTCCGGATCGTTGGCCAAAGCAAAATCGATTTATCTAGGGTTCCTACTGTCAGTTTCGTCGTCGTAGGTCCAAAATCCGTGAAGAGCAAGGACATTGTGGCTGTTTTTGACAAGAGAGGCGGCGTGAGTTATTATCGCGCTCGTTATTTTATAATCTAATGTGCGAGTACTAATCACAGATTGGGATTCGATATGGGCATTTTTATGCTTATACCCTCGTCAGTGGTCTGGAGCCCAAGCTGGATGCCGGCGACGGTGTTGTGAGGATATCATTTGTCCATTACAATACTGTTGAGGAAGTCGAGAAAGTGGTCGAAATACTAGAAGAGATTCTTGCATGATGCAGCATTGGGCGGTCTCTGCTATGGTGCGAGTCTTAGGTACTGTCCACTCAGATATATCAGACGAATGGACAAAGATAAAAGCTGCTACACATAGCTCTCAATAACCATGAGATTGTAGGCCTCTTGTGGGGTAACAGAACATGGAACTTGTGATGCGACGAAAGTTGTTTGACTGGCGGGGAAACCTCTTCATCGCGAGAATTATAATTCACTGTACGGACGGCCTGAAAGTCGGTTTGAGCTGAAACACCTCCTGCTTGAGTATGTCAATGGAATATCGAAAACGTCGTTCATGCCAATGACATGTCTTTACCGCTCGAAAGGTTTAAACCTCAATTATTTTTTACTCAAGTACCAGTACCTCCACTGTAGGTGACAAGATAGATCTCTATGTGAAATCAAGCGCATAATTGATAGTTATTTATGGAGCCCACAATCCAGATAGCTTTCGAGTGGAACGTTAAAGAGGTGAAAGTACTGCTCACCACGAGATTTGACGAAAAAAACATCAACAACAAGACATAACGGATGGGGCCTTAAAAGCGCGGACTTAGAGCCACGAGAACCCCGTAGGTTTACTCACACCCTGTCCCTCTGCCATAGCTGCCACTTCTTTCAAAGCCCCACCACCCTCGAAGCGCTCAAATACCTTGATTCCGCCACCCTCCACACCTCCAGCGATTAACCATCGATCGTCTTCTCCCCCAAATACCATTCCACGTACATGCTTCAATCCGGTTCGCACTTCTTTCACGAGTCGAGGTGCACCTTCAGCAATGGAGAATATTGCTATGGTATCACCCTCAGGAGATGGGTCATTTCTGTTAGTGATATATAGGTAGGGCGTAGGGTACGTCTTATTTGGCTCGGGAATTAATATCTCTGCCGCAAGCATTCCAGGGGGGGTAGGAGACGGCTCGGTGAGTGTCGATGCTTGTGCCAGGAGGGTGGGTTCTTCGGGGAGAGGCGGAAAGCGATGTACAACGACGACGCTTACAAGTTCGTACAATGTGTACAGGTTTTCCCCTAAATAAACACACTTGAGTGGCTGAACACCCCGGCGTCGATGAAGTAGACATACCATAAAATGCAATGTGCCTTGGTCCACCGCCAGGGGCACACTGTACGTACCCATTTATCTCCCACTGTCCGCTGGCACCTTTTGCAAGTCTCCATATCTTGTCAGCACCAAGGTCAGGGACGAGCAGCTCGTCACGACTGGGATGGAAGATGATCTGATGTGGGTGCGATGATTTTTGGCGCTCTTTGTTTGGGCCTGTTCCCGCCACCTGGAGTGTCCACGGCTCTGTCGACAGAATGTAGGGTGACTTAGCAGAGATAGGAAGAGTTGCGATGACCCCAGTGGCATACTAGAAATCGTGCGTGATAAGCACTTGTCAGCTAGAGATATTCGAAGATGACAGCAAAGTATGAGTCCGTGTTTAGACAGGGGGTGTCACGACACAAGAAGTTGATAGGCTTCACTTGAAGATAGGGGTTGAACCGTTCGTGGAACATAAAGAAAGTACTCACATTTCCAATGATAACCTCATTCTCAGTTGCAAGCAACGTGCATGGATCTCCCCCACCGCTTGGTGCTCTCCCGACTACCTCTCCTTTGCCCTGTTCGTCGAATTTCAACGCAACAACCTCACCGGAAGGCTGTTCGAGGCCTGCATATACGACAGAACGATCCGTGGGATGAGCTGTGAGCCACGAAGGATTACGTCCCACCGTGGTGGCTGAAAGGGGAGTGAGCGATGGATTCGCTGCATCGAAGGCAACGGTGTAGACCTTGTCGGTGTAGGATGAAACGAGGATCTTGTGAATGCTGGACATTGTCGTCGTCGTCGTATTCTGCTAGCGCCTAGATGGTGGAACAAAGGAAGACTGAACCTCTGGCAAAGGGGGTTTATTAGATATAAAGCGGAACCGGAATAGACGGTGTGGTCACGTAGTGGCACTTTGTCCGGATGACTCTCGTTCTCAAACCGATATTTGTCCGATATGCTGTTTTGAGAGGTAAGAAGTAGATGTATTACAGTCTTGGCTTATCGTTAAAGAGTTTGAGTATGTCCCAGTGGTGCAAAAGAAGCACTGGTATACATTATCAGAAGTGAACAGTCCAGGTTACAAACTTCAAAGACTCAGACAAGATGAGATACCAGTACTATCTCCGACTCACGCTCCCATTTGCCGTTGATATCTTGCAACACGGTAAATTTGTGAGCCTGTATTGAAGCACAGATAAAAGTTAAAACTTGGGTTGTGACTCGCCGAGAGCGGGGATGACCTGAACCACAGTTTCAGCAGAAAAGCCTCGAGCTCAAGAGAAAAAAGTTCAAATAAATCTGATTTACACTGAAAACATTGACAACAGAAACCACTGTCTCGTACGTTAAAACTAGCTAGCTAACAAATCTTTTTGTAACACATCACTCGTATATCTATTACAGTCCATCTCGACATCATATCGTGCTTGTACATTGAAATTAGGCCACAGTGAAAGTTGATGAAGTTCCATTGAACGATGATATGGAGCCAATGAGAGGCTTGGAGTCCCCAAAGTAGGAAATGCGGTACGTTCCAGCTGAAATATCTTGTCAGTTTACGGAGTATGCATAGGAAAGATAGACGTACCAGGGGTCCCATCCTCTATGGTCCTGGAAAGATATTAGTGTAGAACATACTCGCATTATTAAGGCACTTACCATGAAATGGTGACTGTGCTTGTCCCAAAGACCTGGATTTACCTCTATAAGACACCACTCAAGAACTATTTGTTTACAACATACCGTGCTTGTTCTGTTCCAACGATAAATAGTTGATGGATGCGAGTCGGTCCGCACCATGCTCCACTGGTCTGCCACATTGTAATCTACGCTCAAGAACGAACCTTCCAAGCGCAAATTGTTCTGATGAACTGGGCGTAAGAAAAAGGTAACGAGAATGGAGACTCAGAATAAAAGTTACCCTAGGATTAGCTCCCACAAACTGGACCGTGACAGTGTCACCAACGTGGTACGGGGTATTGTTGATGTCAACAAGCACATCACCGAACTTCTTTCCTAGAGGTGAATTATCGACAATAACGGGTGTCTATATTCAGCCGGCCGTTTAACAATTCGGTGCCTCAAGATAGGTAGTGCGCTGCGATTTTACCTGTAGCGAAATAGCCTTGCTAGTTTGTTCTGCAGGGGCAGGATCCGATGCTGGCGCACCACTAGCGTTATCAGCGAGGAAAGAAACTAAGCTGCCATACTTGTCAATGTAGGCGTCCAATGTGGCTGCGTGTGTCACGGGAGAGCCAGAGTCAGGAAAGAAAAAGATGACTAAAAGGTAAAAAAGAACTAACAAGCGCCGAATATAGTGGATGCGCCTTCATATCTCTGAACACCATATTCTTCGCGAGTGGCCACATAATGAGCATAAGTATTTGCAGGACCAGCAATCACAACATAGGCATCTTCGCCAAGTATTCCTTCAGATATCAACTTTGCTCTCATAGCATCCCTGTTGTCAATAATATAAGCGGGCACTAAATCACAGACAGACGAATGTAAACGTACCGCATTCTTCTTCCAGACATGGTGGTTAGTTCTCCGGGCATGATAAGCATCACGAGATTACCGACCCGAAGCATTTGAATATCAACTGTGCTCGGGGACCACTCGTATGGAACATGCGCATAACCCTAATATTACGTCAGCTTTTGTCGCATTGGTTATTTTCTAGAAAAGAAAAAGCACCGTATTCAGGAGGATCGGCTTAGGGTACTGGCACGCGACCTGTTCTGCAGACGGGAGAGGCGTCACAGCACCTGTCAAAACCAATGGGTTTCGAAAGTCTAGATAATCATTGTCGCAAACCTCGCAAACGCACCCTTTACAATTTCCCAAAATGGATTTCTGAGCGAGTATGTTAGTGAAACTACAAGTCAAAATTTCGAGAGTAATATTTACTGAGGATTTGATGAGTTATCTCCCTGGATAAAGTCGAAAGCACCAGGTCCATCCCTTGAGGATTATAGTCCTTTAGGTTATAGCATGATACTATAAGTCCACATCGACTCACGTTGTTCCTCCAGCAAAGGAGAAACCTAAAAACAGGATTCAGGTACAGAAAGCTAGAATGATCAAAGGCTCATACCAAGTGCAGCAGGGCAGGTCTGTGCAGTCGTACCATTCGGCAAAGTAAAACTGTGAGTTGCCCTAGGTTCTATTATATTAGGCACTGACTTACAGCTAAGAACTAACTATATACACGTACATGTCCAAATATGTGTGCACAGCTTTAACAGAACCATTAACCGGAGGTAACGTTTGGTTCATCAGAGTCTGCGCTCCCTCGAACTGCAGCTGACCGATTATTCTGCTCGATTCAAAGTCAGAAATGCGGAACCCTGGCCCTCTGTGAATTATAATATCAAATCATGTGAACTTCCCGACCACTATAAGGTTCGTACTGACCGACCATGACAATCTTCAGTCCTATTGCCGCATGTAGAATGATCGAATTCACAGGGTTGTCCATCGTAAGGTTCTCCAGGACTTTCGCAGTAAGCGCCTAAACTAGGAAAGGTGCATTGACATGAGGGTATGAAAATAATAAGCGGTTTGAGAAAGACTAACGTATTGGGACTGGTATCTCCTACGTTTGCTATTTCGGAGTTCAGTGGACGCTAATATCACGAAACGAATCGACGCACATTGAGTAAATCCTGCCACGAAGGTAGCATGGCCGGGCATAGATGAGGGTTCCACCATCGCTACAGCAAATCAGCAATTTAGCAACCCAGCCCCAGATTCAGCTGACTCACATTCGTAGAGGTATGCAGCCATGCCTTTATTATCAGCGCTGACAAGAGTATTATTCTGCCGCACAGTATTTACTAATTGGTACTTTAATAATATCGCATATGCATCACCTCATAAAGACTGGTCCCGTGTACCGCAAAGAAACTCAGAAAGCCTCTAGCATTACCGTCGATATCGTCGAATCTTAGGAGGGTTAAATCCTTATCTTGATCATACTGGTATTTTGCGCGTTCATCGGCAGGATTGGCAAGATACGCAGAAGGTGATCGATTGATATTTGCGTTGAGCACTGTGGTGTTTCCTAGGCTGAGTTTTCCCGGAGAAAGACTATCATGGGCTTGCTGCACAGCACGCACAGAACCCGCCACGATAGCATCAGCACTTTGTTTAACATACCCCAAAGACGTTATTTGGGGAAGAAGGTCCTCGAGGTATCCGCCGACTCCAGAGTGCTGATGTGTGCCAACAAGTGCGATGTTGTCATTAGTATAAATACCTGGATATTGTGACGAGAGTTCTGCCACAATCGAGCGACGAACTCCAGTATCTCCCATGCATATATCTGCGTTGAAAACGATTGAAATAAATTTGCGAACAGGAAATGACTCGACGGTATCTACCAGAATTGATAAAGACCACTCGGTTTGAAGAATTTGAGGCATCAGCTACGATGAATGCACGACTCCGTTGACGCATATGAAGACCAGTATCCGTTTGTGCCAGGTTTGCATAGCCCTTCGGAGTGATTATAAACATGTGCCGTTCCATATATGCTGAGATGACTTACCATCATGTTCGTCTCTACAACAGGGCTGTCGTGGTAATTTTCAACATACATAAAAATCTAGAGTATAGAGAGAAATACCCAGTTACATCACCAACACCTTCAACCAATGCATAAAAATCAGCTAAAGTTACACGAGGAACGAAATGAACCCTCACCAAGCCCAAGCAAGTACTGTGCGGATGCAACTTGCACCCCAACAGAAGCTTGTGATCCTTGAGGCCAAAAAGATCCCGCCGCCAAGAAAGCTATGGTATAGAGGAAGAGAGACTTCATTGTGTTGAGCAACCACTCTACCAGGTTTGCGAGAGAAGGGCAAGACCCGTTGTCGGAGAGAAGGAGATACATAGCTCTAATGCCGTCGCCAACGTACTTATAATTGCGACGGTGCTTTTCTTTCGCAGACTTTAGTTGATGCAAGTGGTATGCTTCTTGAGTTCTGTCAACTTCCAAGACAAATGTTGCACATGCACCAGTCACGAGGCGGCGCTATGGTTCCGCAGGAGTCCGAATAGGGTGAATGTTCTATCCAACAGAAATTAATAGTCTTTGAAGTAAGGAAGAATACAAGAATATGAGGAGTGAAAGTGTTTTGATAAGAAAGGTGGGATGAGGTGTTGTGCTCGTCGGCGTGCCAGTGTCAGCCACGGTGAGTATTCGTCAAACTCCTGAGACTTTCATTCAGTCCAGTTCTCAGCGCTGTCACGTGACCAACACTGTTCACAGCACCGCCACGAGTGTGTTGTCAGTTTGGTGTACACTCACCTTTCCTGCCCAAACCAACACCCTTTCTGGGAGCTTGAGCGTCTCGCACGTTGAAGTACGCCACCCAGGAGGAAAAATGGTCCAAATCAGCCCACCATACTCCATATCATCGATGTTGGAGTGGTTTCCTGACAATACTGGTTATCACTGTGCCCTGAGGCTTTTACCCCACTCACCAAAGTGACACCATGCCATGTGCATTATGGAATTTTCCACATACTATGTCGACACTTGGCGCAAGGTTATGCTCTCAAATTTCGGCGCATCTCTTTATTATTCGACACATGCTGGTTGCCCGCATTCGAGGCTGCTACGATACCTCTTATCGTGTACCAGTCAGAATTGGCTCTATAACATAGATGAATGTTGGTTCTCTGAAGTAATAACCCGATACTGATTCGGGTCAAGGTGTGTGTTCATCTCATTGCTATCATCTATAGTGATTTCATAAGAAATCAACCTCGACACGACTCAGGATCGATTATCTTCAATAGCACCATTATTGCTATGACTCTGACCAGAGGTATGTTTTCATACTGTTATCTCAGAAAAACCTCTTTGCTTACTAGACTTGCTCGACGTTTTAGTTGAACGTCCTTTAACTGGAAACTGTATTGTCTGTAAGATCTCCGTAGCAAGAGCCTCCTGCCAGCAAGAGAGCATAACGAACGTGACGAAGTGATAATCGGTCAATTGTCGGATATACATCGGTAGCAGGAACTACCTGCGCAATTAGCCGGATGTGCTACCTTACGCCTTGTTGCCAAAGTCTAGTCGTACATTGTTTTAGGGAGTGTGCTATAGGGGAGGACGCAAAATAGCCCAGACAAGTGATCGGGTTCCATAACCATTTGCAGTGCGTATGAAAATATTCGAGTCATCATGGTAGCTGATTAACACAGTTTTCCGTTCTTCTGGTGTGCCTGCCAGTATTTAAGCGCCTAAATCCGCACACCATCATCCGCACGCCATCTTGTCTTTCACTACTATCTTCTACATTTCTGGCCCCATGTTTTCACGTATCGTCTTTCTGTCGTCTCATAAACCTGCAAGCACCTTTGCCCCATGTTCCTCTCATACTTTTCGAACCTCGCGTGGACTGGCCACCGCCGCCGTTAAGCCGGCTCAAGGCAGACCACCTAGGGACGAGGGAACTATAGCCGATGTTTTCAAGTCTCTATCTAACCAATCAATAGCTTCCCATCTTCCAGAGAGATATGCAGAGCTTAAAAGGCATGTTTTAGCAGACGTCGATCACGCAGCTTTGCTTGAAAGTTGGAGGGAGGTTTTGGAGGAGGTTGGGAATAGTGCGGAGGAAATCATTAGCAGAGGTGGAGATGTAAGTCGATTATCTTAACGAATGTGCATTGGCACTACGGATCAAAACCCGGGTCGCTGTTGGCAAGATCTGATCTACTATTCGTGCAGGTGATTCCCAGAGTTTCTTATGCTGACATTGAGAAAGGCTTGTCGGAGGCGCAAATCCATGCCATCAAAAACACTGGTGTTGTGGTAGTTACTGGAGGTGTGCCCAAAGACGTAAGTATCACTTAGTCACTACTCTCTGCCGCTCTGTCAGCATGCTTGCATCGCGCAATTTATTCTTGATGTCACACCTTCTAACGACATTGCGCTTAGGAAGCATTAGGATGGAAGCAATCTATCAAGGACTACATCGCCTCCAACCCGGTGAAAGGTTAGTTGCACTAGTCTCCGATCCTCCTGCAGAGCTACACTCACAGAAGGATCTAGGGTTTCCTCCTGAAAATATCCAAGCCTATGAATTATACAATACCAAGTCACAGACATATGCTCGCACACATCCTGCTGTACTTCGAACTCAGAAAGCTCTTCTTGGATTATGGCACTCATCTTCTCCGGTTCCTATCGACTTCTCAACCCCAATCAGCTACTTTGACCGACTCCGCATTCGGACACCGGGCGATACCTCTTTCACACTTGGTCCACACATGGACGGCGGTTCAATAGAGCGATGGGAGGACAAGACATATAGAAACGTATACAGAAAAATCCTCAGTGGTGGAAGCCTGTGGAAAGAGTACGACCCTTTTGATGCCCGATGGAGGTTGCGTGCAAGGCAGGACCTATACAATACTCCGTGAGTGGAATTCTCCTCAGTGCTTATGCTGATACTGACAACCAATATGGAAGAAATCAATGCTCTATCCTGCGCTGCTGGCAAGGCTGGACCTCCCTATCTACCACTGGAGTCAATGAAGGCACACTCCGAGTGCTCCCTATGCTCTCAGCTGCGACGGCTTACCTGATTCTCCGACCATTCTTTCGTCCTCGTGTATCTCTTTCTAGCCTTAGGACGCCCTATAAAGTCCCATTTGAGGACTGGGAAATCGACCTTGAAAGTTCTGCTTTCCCCGGAACCACTGTACGAGGTGCACAAGAACTAAACGCAAATACTCATCCGCACCTCAGGCTTGACAAAACCATGGTTTCTGTGCCCCTGATCGAGCCAGGAGATCAGGTCTACTGTAAGTAGTATTTCGCTCGCTATATTTCAAAAGTTTGATCTGATTCCAAACAATAATGTATAGGGCACTGCGACCTTATTCATTCGGTCGAGTCTGTACACCAAGGTACAAGTGACTCTTCAGTATTATATATACCGGCTGTTCCTTTGACCCTCAAAAAGTCAGTATACCTCGAATTTTTCGGTGGATAAAGGCTAAATTCTTCTCCACTAGCGCATTGTATCTCCGTGATCAGCGTATCAATTTTGTCCACGGTTACCCAGCACCGTACGTGTCTCTTTTCGAGTTCACCTCGTCTTGCCAGATGTAGTAATCATGGTTTTCATAGAGATTTTCCAGGCGGTGAAGGGGAATCAAAGTTCCTAGGCCGTGCTTCAGCTCAGGATATACATACGCGCGAAGGGCGACAAGCTTTAGGCTTCGAGCCTTTTGTATCTTCAGCTGGCTCAAGTTCTGTAAAGCTCCATGAAGAGGCGAACAAGATTCTTTTTGGCTAATTCTGCTTTTCCTTTTCATTCTCTGTGATGATATCTGTATGTGTGAATCTGAGGAATTCTATCTCAGGGTGAGAACATCTACGCAAATCAACCGAATGACTTGTTCGGTGTATAACTGAGGCATTTCTACGGGAAATTGGCCATGTATAATTTATTAGCTGTATATTACCTCGCCATTTCCTACCAATATTGTGCGGCTGTTCGCAAAGGCAGCAGGTTATATATAATACTGTGGCACCGTTTTCCCATGAAATCAATTTTCAGCATTGACTCGCGCCATCTTTATTAAGTAAATGCATCCCACGGTCTCCTTATCTCTCTGAAAGTCGAATACGCAGGAGTACTTGCAGTGCGTGATGACTGTCAAGCAACCGTGACTAATTAACAACATTTACAGTAACAAGTGATGGTTGCCTTTTCTCCATCATGTAGTCGTGGTCGTCCAACTTCACTCAGATGGGCGTTGGGTATGCGTTGTCTTTCAACGTCGACTCGGAACCCCATACGCTGGTGAGCCTGGAAACCTCAAGTGCTAAGCCAAACATTAGTTTCAAGCTGACAATTGACAGAAGTCTTTCTACGACTTCCCACACGACCAATGATCTCCCGCTTTCCGGTGTTCGTGTACTTGAGCTCGGTCAAGTGATTGCTGGCCCGTTCTGTGGTCAGTTGTTAGGGTCAATTCTCAGCACTTGCACAGTGATATAAGTGCTTAACAGATGATATGTATTCAGGCATTTTGGAGCAGAGGTAATCAAGATTGAACCTCCTGGAGTTGGTGACCCTTTGCGTGTCTGGCGTGAACTGGATATTGATGGAACGAGTCCATGGTTCCGAAGCTTAGCGAGAAACAAAAAAAGTGTTACTATTGATTTACGAAAAGAAGAAGGCAGACAGTGAGTAATCCAAATGAGGACCATGAACTAATTCAGATTCCAAGTCAGGCTCGTGAAGAAACTCGCTGTTAAGTGCGACGTACTTCTGGAAAATTTCAAGCCTGGCAGTACGTTATTTTCCCTCTTACTTCTAGCACTGTGTATGTACTCATACAATGTGATGCAACCTCCCTGTTGCAGCACTTGAAAAATGGTGTCTTGGCCCATCGTCCTTACATCCTGAGAATCCTTCTCTCATATTCACCCGTGTCAGTGGCTATGGGCAGACGGGCCCTTGGTCATCTCGACCAGGCTTTGCATCCGTTTGTGAAGCTGAATCCGGTTTTCGCTTCATAAATGGCATGCCCGATCCAGAGCACAGTGGACTCTCTGGCCCGCCTATAAGGCCCAATATTAGTCTGGGAGATTCCGTAGCAGGACTGCATGCAGCATTTGGAACTGTAAGTGAGCTGGAATATCTCAAACGCTAATCTGAATGGTGTTAGGTCCTCGCGCTGCTATCAAGGCAGAAGGTACAGAAACGTGGTGGAGGTGGCGGCCAGACTGTGGATGTCAGCATAATGGAAAGGTTTGTGTTCAGTACCGGGTGCATCGTCCTACAGTTATCTCCATCTGGCCCATAGCATGCTAAATCTTATGGAGGGCATAATACCAGAGTATGATCGCAAGGGAAAGGTGCATATATGCTTCAGCCTCTTCGATAACCGTTTTGATATCTTCTAGGTCCGCGGTCCTTCAGGATCCTCCGTAACGGGCATTGTCCCGACCAACGCATATCCCTGTCTTTCTCCTTCCAGCTCATCATCTCCGTCTTCGAACGCGTACATAATCATAGGCGCAAACGGTGATTCGCTGTACCAAAAGCTGATGAATGCTATTGGGCGCGCCGATCTGACTGGACCATTATACCAGCACAATCACCATCGTGTCAACCAGCAGGCAAAAATAGAGGCAGCGATCACAGAGTTCACGTCCCGGCACACAGTAGATGAAGTTCTGGAAGTTCTTCGCGGCGTAGGAGTGCCTGCTGGCCGAGTAGTCAACGTAAAGGACATAGTCGAGGGGGAGCAGGTCCTGGCTCGTGGGGCAGTAGAGGATGTGCAGGTTGGAACCGAGGAGAGTGGCTGGAAAGTGAAAATGCCAAGAGTTTTCCCAGTACTTGACGGATGTAATGCTCAGACTCGCTGGGCCGGCCCTGATTTGGGACAACATACTGAGGAGGTTTTGCGAGGTGAACTAGGCTTATCAACGCTGGAACTTACTACTCTGAGGAATAACGGTGTCATTGGATGAAAATAGTGAATGTATATTATAGTGGTACTTCACCTATTTTCATCGTTTGCCAATAGCAGTGCCGTAGAATCAGCCTTATGTGAAAATGGTTAAAGCACTGAGTTTCCTAATACAGTAGCGTTTGTTTGGCAATAGCTTCTAATCCAAACAAACCGGATTTGGATCTCGGAAAAATCTTCGAGAGTAGCCTGAACTTGAAGTCACGGTCAACCACACGATATGGAAGCGGATCAAGGTTTCCAGCGTGTCAAACGCTTCAAAGTACGACACAGCCATATATTATACTCAAGTCGTTAACTAATACAAATCTAGCATCAATCTTATAAACAATCTCTCAAAGAAGTTCACGTACCTTCGGCTCTCAGCTTGTCAAAATTTGATCATGAACTTCAAGTGGGACGTTCTAGTTGTCATATCGCTCAACGTTTATTAACATGGATACTTTATGATAGGATAATCAGTCGCATTTCTATGAAACCCTCCAGCACTGGCGGCAACTCAATCTTTCCCCCGGATTCCTAAATTTCGCGAAGAAGGCTGATCCGCTTTCCATGTCGATGCCCCTTTTGTTGCACAACTGGAAAGAAATTGTAGATGTTTGGATAGAAACAGTAAAAGGCTCCGATGACGAAGCTTTAAAAGCCCTCCTCGAGTACGTGTGTTGACATACTATCCTATGCCCCCCTTCTTAACTTGCTTCTAGTCTACTACAGAAACTAGCCTACGACCTCCGTACCACCCTTTCTCCCGTTTATCCCAATTTATTGCAGCTTCTTCTTGAGCTGCTAACTCGCTCTTTATCAGCTCCTGCTTTGACCTCACTCCTTGCCACACTGTCTGCACTCTTTAAATATTTACTCGTACCGTCGGTCAAATTAGATCTCTTGGAAACATCGTGGGCCTCCATCCGTGCCGTTTTACCGAAATGTGATAACGAGGTACAACGGGCTACAGCTGAAGTTTGGGGGACAGTTCTACGAAGGTTGAAGACCACTGCACGAGAGAAAGCAGTCACGCTGATAGCGCAGAGTCTGATTGGCATTGAAGATGCTTGCGCATGGATTTTTGTATTTGCGTGCAAGGTACATATCACTTTTTTAGTTGCGAGATAAATGAACTGACTCATCTCTACAGTCTGTTTCACAAACACTGCACACTGTGACAGTGTCGGTTATCACTCCCTTGCTTGCTTATCATTTAACACACGATGCACCTGATGCTACCCATGCACTCTTTCGTCGCGTGTTGACCGCTCTCATACATCACTGCAAAGCAGCAGATCAATTTTCACCTCTGGCCGATCTCCTTGTCAAGCAATTTTGTGCTATCGCAAAGTCAGTAAGCTTGGGTGAGACAGATGAAGAATCATTGTGCCGTATGCTACAAACGGTATCCGTCATTTGCTCTGTGCGTCAAGGCTCGAGGATACTACGTAAGTTAATCTATCCTGTCCTATGAACTTGACTAAAAGCTTCTCTGTCGCAGCATCTCACTTATCCCAACTGGCCTCTGAGCTCGCTACACTACCACTATCACATACCATTCACCCCCCACTTCTTACCTTTGCTACATCTATCCTCCTCGCTGGCGATATGTCGCTTTCCACCGGAACAGGTCGTGCTTTTCTCCTGCGCTCTCTCGAAGCACCTTCGCTTGGTATTCGCCTCTGTGGCATTCTCTCAGAACTCGGGTGGGGAGGATGGAAACTTGTTGGACTTCCTGCAGTCCTCAAAGCTACACCTGCGTTGCTGGAGCATGAACCGAAGCTGACTATACGTCTTTTTACTAGCTTGAAGAAGCAAGGGAAAATAAGCGACGTAGATGTGGTTTGGAGAAGGTGTATAGAACAATGGGTCGTCCGCAGATTAGAAACATGGGAGAGTGAAGAGTGGCGGGTGGATGACTTGAGCGATATACTCGAGATATGCGGGTTTGTGGGCTGTTTGCCTCGACTCTTAGCTGGGATTGCCAATTCTTCGCTTGATACGCCTAAACCCAAAGCAAACTATGAGTCTACCTACGCAAATGCAGCATGGGTAGTTGGTTTATGCATGCGGACGATAGCATCGCACCATCCTTCACAGTGGATCGATATAGTGGATCTCGGGGTGTGGACAAAAAAGGTTATCGTAAACTGGAGTTGGTCGGAAAGTGTATTGGAAGGATTGGTAGCGCTACTGCGAGCAAGGTACCTTATTTTTTTCTCTGCTATTGCTTCGTCCACTGACAACAAACTTACAGTCCAACAAACAAACCAGCGTTTTCATTCTTAGAAATTTACACGCCCCTCAAAGCAGCCCTCATTTCGCATTCTCGTCTTCTCCGTCTTAATTTCCTCAGGATTTTGGCCTCTTCGCTCGTCGAGGCTTCACCGGGAGAGCAAGATGTTGTTAAACGTTGCCTACAGGGAGAAGAAGTATCTCTAGATGCCCATGGAGTGCGTGAACGTGTTCTGCGCATCGGGAGGGTCGGTCAAGTAGTAAAGGATGGCGACCGGCTTGCTGCGGACCTTTGTGCAAGATGGCTTATTTGTGCGATTTCATCCATGCACCAGCTGTTATTAACTCTCACCTAGAAATTATAGCACAACTCAAAGTTAACCTTCGACCCCTGTGGTCCCCTGCTACTGAGGCATTGTCGTCACTCTCGCAGAGATTTGGCGACCAGGTCTGGAGTTTAATGTTTGACGAGCTTCAGGCTGTTTCGCGTAGTCAGTCTAGTGATAGCATGCCGGCTTGGATGCTTGACAACCAGAACGGAGTCAAGGACAGCATTGATGACCCATGGGAAGAGGAGCGGACTTGGCGAGATCCCAGTGCTCACAAAGTACGAAGTACCACTTCTGGTTGGCTCCGCGAAGACCATCAGCGTAATGAAATCATCCGGGTAATTTCCTTTGTACCAACTACAATATTCAGGCTAACTTGTAAAACTACCTCTACATAGGTGCAACTTCCGAAAGATCGCATTGATACTTCGTCTTATGAGTCCCAGCTGCTGTCCACTCTTGGCGAATGTAGCGCACTGGCGGAAAAACATAATCGAGACCTCATCCCTTTCTTTCTTTCCTTAACTGGTCCGGACGCGTCCTCCCGGCTACCTCGGTATAAATTGACATCCTGGCTGACTTTATTCAGCAAATTCAGCAATCCAAAGGCTCTACACTCCTCCGATACTCTGTTTTCGCTATACATGTCTTTTCTCTCTCATCCGGAACGCTCTCTACAGAATCTTTCGCTATCTTGTATATTGACTTACAAATTACCCCAACTACTCGCGCATGAGGATCACCTTCGCGCCCTCCTCGATGACACAAGATGGAGGGATGAACTCACGACACTTGATATATCTGCAATGGAGCCTCCAGATAGGTCACAGCTGGTGGATATTATCATCAGGCTCCTGTTTGGCATAATGTTAGAGAGAAAGGGGCGCTCAAGGGGAGCCGACCGTCGGACTACAATTTTGTCAGTTTTGGGAGGCTGTACCGATGAAGAACTTTCACTATTGGTGGATCTCATGCTAAAGCCTATGCAATCCGAATGTCAATCTCGCAGTGAAGGTGACTTTACACTTCGTGATATATCGCCCGACATATCGCAGAAGCAGCAGATCGGCTTTCTTACACTTTTGGGCGATGTTCTGAAGAACCTTGGGCCCCACGTTATCTCTTATTGGCCTGCTCTGTTAGGTACCACCATAGATATTATATCCCACGCTCAAGAACGAATTGCCTCAATTAAGCGCGAAGACCCTACTAAGGTGGATAAGGATGAAGAGCAAGAGCAGGATGAAGAAGATATGGAAGAAATTGAGGATATTGGGGGGCTTAAATCTCCCCGCTTGATTCGCCAACTGGGATTGAAACGACTGTCAGACTTCTTCCGCAGCCCAGTCACGTTCGATTTCACAAAATACCTTACAGCGTCATTCTCTTCGTTCATATCTCCACGACTGCCTTTGCTGGATAAAGAAAATACTCAAGCGCCGTCGGGGCTTCTGGAATTGTTCTACGCTTGGGCGTCACGACCGGAATATGTACAATATTTGGTTCAATACGATCCTACCGTTTTGCCTAAGGTATACGACTGTTTGGTGGCTACCAATGTCAAACCCGTTGTCATTACGCGCATACTTGACATCGTCGATCAAATTCTTCTGTTTTCTGGTGACAATAAAGAACTATCAGGAATGATCGTCAAACCCCACATATCGCTATTGCTCACGAACATGGCGGTTCTAGTTGAACGGACCAAAAACGATGCCTCGATCTCCAGCCCGCTCTCCCACCGCCAAATTGGTATCCTTTCAGAAATTGCTCATTATATTTCCGACGCAGGGCAGTCATCTAGGCTACTGGAGTTGCTCACACCTCTTCTGCGTAAACCGTCCAAGGTGGTCCCTGAGAAGACCAAGGTTAACCTGTTGAAGATACTGGGGGAAACCTTTCCTCTTATTCCAGATCTCTCAAACCGCAGTTCTCCGATATACATCAAGGTGTATGAATTACTCTCCCAACTTTTTCAAAGCTTGCGATACAGTCAATCTCGTGCGGCTCTCGTTGCGACTTTCCAGCGCTTATCGACTGTAGACGTCAGCCTTGCATCACTGGCTTCTCTTCTCGCCTCCTTGAATGCGTTTTCTGTAAAGAGGCTTGATGAACCTGACTTCGAATGTCGCTTAGAAGCGTTTTCAAAGTTGAACGAACAGATATACGCGTCGTTGTCACCACACGACTGGCTACCTATCATTTACAATATGCTCAGTTTCATTCAAGATCCTGAGGAGTTGGCTGTTCGCAATAATGCATCCTTCACTCTACGACATTTTGTGGACTTAGCTTCAGATGATACCTTAACGGAATACGGATCCATTTTCATGCGGATCCTCTTTCCTGGATTAAAGAATGGATTGCGATCTAAGCACGAGCTGGTCCGCAGTGAAGTGCTCTCCGTGGTGGCATATGCTACTTCTAAATGCGAGAGTATCGACTCATTGCAAGAGATGCGGCCGTTGCTTGCTGGGGGGGATGAAGAAGCTAGTTTCTTCACGAATATCCATCATATTCAAATCCACAGGCGTATCCGAGCTCTTCGGCGACTGGCGGATCAATGTGACGAGGGTTATTTGCGTAGTAAAACCCTGGCAGATATTTTTGTGCCGCTCGTCGAACATTACATCTTATCCACAGCCTCCCTTGACCATCATCTCGTTAACGAGGTAATCAATACGACCGGTCGAATGGCGAAGCATTTGTCATGGAGTGTATATTATGCATTAGTTCAAAAGTATCTTCGAGCATCCAAAGACAAGACTGATGCCGTTCGCGTCCATGTACGAACGCTAGTGGCTATCCTGGAGAGTTTCCATTTTCCGATGGACGAAGTTCTGCCTGAATCAACACCAGGCGCTGAAGATGACAATGAATTGAATGAAGATGTTAATACGGTCGAGCAGCGTTTTCCACCAACTAAGGTCAACTTCAAAAAGATTGAGGATGCTGTCAATCTACGCCTTTTACCGGGCCTTCTGCAATATCTGGAGAAGCGTGACGAAACGGAAGATACTTTGCGGATTCCCATATCAATTGGCATAGTTAACGTCGCCAAACATTTGCCCCAAACATCTCGAGAACCGCAAATATGCAAACTCTTGACAGTCCTCAGTCAGGTTCTAAGGAGCAGAAGTCAAGAAACTAGAGATCTCACTCGAGACACTCTATGCCGTATCATAGTACTTTTAGGACCCACGTATCTGCCTCTTCTCCTGCGCGAAATGCGAGGAGCACTCTTGCGAGGCCCACAATTGCATGTTTTAGCGTATGTAACACACGCTCTCCTCACTCACATCACAAATGCCGAGCATATCACAAGGTTCAGTAATCTCGACGAATGCGTAGATGATGTTGCACATATATCGGCAGAAGTGGTATTCGGCGAGTCTGGAAAAGATGTGCAGTCCGACGACTTCAAAACCAAAATGCGCGAAGTGAGGTCTTCGTCATCGAAGGGACTGGATTCATTCTCTCTTATGGCTAAATACATCACACCGCTGCGTATAAGCGCGCTTCTACTTCCTGTCCGCTCGATTATGCAAGAGACGGAGTCTTTCAAATTAATGCTGCAAGTTGAGGAGGTTCTTCGGCGGATCGCTAGCGGACTCAATGCCAACAATCATTTCACGCCCCCAGAACTTCTAGTACTCTGTCACACGCTAATTAGCCAGAACGCTCGATTCCTCCAGGAGGCTGCTCCCCCTAACAAGTCTAAGGCGAAGGCCAAGAAAGATGATGCCATAGTGCAGATGAAGCGACAATCAACAGTCGAGGTTAATCATTATGTAAACAACTCCTTCCGGTATTGATATTCTATCTTTATTCTTAAAGTATATTTCTGATCATGTTTCATTTCAGTTTCGTTACCTTCGGAATCGACCTGTTCAATACTGCCTTCCGTCGCAATCGTTTTGATTTCCACGATGCTGTTATAATAGCTCGATTGGAACCGATGGTTAAAGTCATCGGCAACACATTGTACTCAAGTAATCACGCAGTGATAACCTCCGGGATCAAAGCAACAGCCGCCATCGTCAAGTGCCCCTTGAATTCTATTGATAAATCGGCACCTGTCTTCGTTCGCCAGATCCTCGATATAATCAGACAGACTGGCAGTACCGAATCAGACGTTGTTCAGACTGCTCTGAAGTCCCTGGCAACCATCTTGCGTGATTGTTCAGCGGCACAAGTTAAAGAAAAAGACCTGGTTTTCCTTTTGCAACTCTTGTCTCCCGACTTAGAAGATCCCACCCGACAAACTGCTGTGTTTGCAATGCTCCGAGCAATCGTGGCCCGTAAATTCGTCGTACCTGAGATCTATGATCTCATGGATAAAGTCGCCGAGATCATGGTGACGAATCAGTCTTTCCAGGTCCAAGAACTGTGTCGCGGTGTTCTCCTTCAATTCTTGCTGGACTATCCACAAGGAAAAGGTCGACTACGAAATCAAATGGTTTTCCTTGCAAAGAACCTCTCGTATGTGTATGAGAGTGGGCGCAAGTCTGTGATGGAAATTCTCAGTGCAATCGTTGCGAAGTTTGAAACTGGACTCGTAAGGGAGTATGCAGATTTGCTGTTCGTTGCTCTTGTTATGGTGATCGCCAACGATGACTCTGCGAAATGTCGGGAGATGGCCGCTGAGCTGATAAAAAGTCTCTTTTCGCGACTTGACGATGAACATCACAAAGTCGTTATGAATCATTTGGACACATGGGCCACGCAAGGCGCTCAGCCCCAGCTGACCAGAGTCTCCATACAGGTCTATGGACTTGTCATCGACGTTTCACAACAAGCCACACTACCATACATTCCCACTCTTCTCCAAAACGTCAATGCAGCGCTAAAGAGCAGCAGTCACCAGATCGAGTCTTCCTATGAAAATGCTGACGAAATGGACGTCGACATTGAGTGGCAAGTTTCATATCAGGCATTGGTTGTACTAACGAAAGTACTACGTGTTTTCCCCGATTTCACTCCGGACTTGGACAAAGTCACTTGGCCTCAAGTCGTGTTGCATCTCCTATTTCCACATACATGGGTCCGTACTGCTGCATGCCGCCTTCTTGGCATGCTCTTTTCTGCGACACCAATCACACAGCCCAGGACAGATGTAGGAGATGATCATCCGCAGTCGGTAACGGGGATGCGGGACATTGCAGGGAAATTGTGTACTCAGCTTAAAAGCGAACATTTGGACGCACCGCTAAGTCTTCAGGTCGTCAAGAACTTGTTTTACATTGGGAAATGTTTCTCTTCCATTCCGGTTCCTTCACCGGATGCACAAAAGGACGATGACCAAGAAGTTGACGAGGATGACGAGGATAGTGAACCAGGCGAGGAGGAAGTTGAGAATACGAAGGAACAGAACCCACTTCCCTGGCTATTTTCCAAGCTATCTTATCAAGCACGTTCTGCCCATATAGCTCGAAGAAACAGGTCATTCAGCAAGGTCAGTTATTACTTGCCATCTTTTGATATCACTGATATTCACACTTTACAATAATCAAAGGATTACTGGGTCCACCAGCCTTCGTCAGTATTTCGTTGGTTTGCCGCTATGGCGTCGTACTTGGATGCTGCGCGACTGGAAACTTTCCTCCCCCATACCTTGACACCGCTCTATCGAATCTTAGAGGATGATACAATCCGCGATCCACACATGGGTAAGCTCACATCTTTTCTCCTTTGTTTTTATGTTATTGAAGAACTAATGTTTTGTATCACATAGATGAATTAAAAACCCTTGCAACCGAATTGCAGGATCTAATCCAGAACAAAGTGGGGACAACTAAGTTCGCACTTGCGTATAATCGTATACGACAGGGAGTGCTTACTGTGCGCCGTGAGCGCAGAACAGCACGAGTCACACAGGTAAGGTTTACCATCCGTGGAATTATCACAATATGAAGAGCTGATTTTCATACTACCTAGGCCGTGGTGAACCCAGAGGCTGCTGCCAAACGAAAAATGCAGCGGAACGTAGTGAAGAAGGATAGTCGAAAGAGAAAAAATAGGGCGTACGCGTAAGTTCTCACATACGTTTTTTAGATATACTCGACAGCTGATGGCCTGATTGTCCAGAGATAGCAAAGGCCGACTTAAACGACGACGTGAGGAGTGATTCAGTAACCCCTGAACATATATAGAACTACGTTCTGCAGTCTTGCATAGTAGTTCGTCGGATTGCGCACTTAATTTATTACCTCTTCAATAGCCAATTGTAAACGCTAGTTAATCACACTCGTGTCATTAGTAAATGTTTTCGATCTAGAGCAATGCAGTATTGTATATGACACAATTTTGATAACAATGGTAAGGGTGATTGTTATGACAAATCCATTGGTTCCTCTCCCTCGCCTTGCCCGGTGTCTCTCGTCGAAAAACACAATTCACTCTCTTCTGTAGCAGCTTCCACATCATCCTCATTCCAATCACTTGTCGCGTCCCACTCATTCTCGAACTCGATATCTAGAGTAAGTTCCTCTGCACCGTCTTGATCATCCGTTAGCGGAAGAAACGCAGCCAGATGCTGCGTGTGAGAAAATGGGGTGTGTGAGACGGGCTGAACCCATCGTCGTTCACGCAGGCGCTTATGTCGCTCACGATCCTCTTCTATGCGTTTGAAGATCTCCCCACGACTTAGTGACGAAGCAGGAGAGGCGGAAGTGGAGGTGGGATCTCCGGCGTCGAGAGAGGATTTACGTGCATTGAGTGTTGTCATGACGTCGTCTATCTTTTGTGGATCAATTACACGCTTGCTACGCCAGTTCTCGAGAATCTATTGCAGCAACCAAACAAAGAGGGCATCAGGCCTTTTCCCCCAAAGCTGAGGTATAGTCATCACAAACCTGCTTTGTACTTGTCAGATTCGGCAGGCCATGTCTGCCTTCTGGAACCACATGTTCCACGATTTTACCAAGATCGCGCGAAACAAAGTCGACATAGAATGAATTATTTTCGTTAGCATTTGGTTTGAAAGTTGATGTGGAGGACGAAGAGAGTTCGTTGTGGGGATGTGATTTGGCCAGAAGGCATGCCTCGCAGAGCGAGTCCAAGAAATATAAAATGTTTATGCGGTTGTTGATGGAACCCTTCCGAGTTTCCATTGCGTTAATGACGAGGAATAATGGCATAGCGGCTAGACTTACTTTTTGACATTCTTCAACAATACAGTCCCACAGGTCTTCCCCACATCTCGAAAAATACTTTAGCGCATAACCAACGACTTTCTGGATGGATTGCTGCGAACTGATTGATAGGGCGATACGCAATTGGTAGAAATTGAATCATGAGGTTTGAATTCCGATGTAACATGTTTACGCAATAAGTTAGTGGTTTTTTTGGAAAGATGAATAGAATCGGGCACACGCACGCGTTGAGCTTTCTGAGGAGCGAGAGGAAGTGCATGCGTACCTCAAAGGGGTCCATGGCGGTAAATCAAACCTACCGACAAGCACTTGGGAGATATTCTAGTTGAATGACTACTCGTTTGTCCGGCTCAGGTTATGTCCGAAAGTTGCATGTAGTACGAGAAAACAACGAGTTGTTGCATGTAGAAGTAAGCGTGGAAGTTAGCGCGGGTACTAAGATGGTTGCCACTGGCACTCCATAATCCAATCCTAAGACAATCACTCTAGATCTCGTCCGACATTGCACGAGTAGAGGCTTTTCTACAGCTATTAATTTCACTTCAAAGCTCTACTAACGTATTAATTTTTTGATGTTGTTCTACAATACAATGATGGTACGCCCCTAATAAGATAACGATATAGTACAATACACTAGAATGGGCCCCAGTACATTCATCAAGTTCCCGCCGCATACTACGTCCAGGCGAATCGTATTTCTGTGTCATGCAGCACTCTCCCCATTAACAACATCCCTCAATAATGGTCTCCCTCTCATCAGTCCTTCGTCCAACCTGGGCAACTTGGCCCTCTTGATCGGTCTCTCTATACTGCCATACTCATCCAAGCTTCCGTCGCTCCCGTCTTGCCCATTTTCTTTCTCCACCGAGACCACCTGCCGCTTACCCGAACCGCAGCCGTCCCTCTTACACCCAGAATCCAGATGCCCTAAAACTGCCCTTGTTTTATCACCCAAGGCTGGATGCCACTCTTCCACACTCCTCGGTAATGAAAGTATCCACGATTTGTTGCCCATCAACTCGAAGAACTCTTTCATGACTGGCACATCACCAAGCGTCCGCCTCGAGCCGATAACGACGAGTTTCTTGCGAGCACGCGTGAAGGCGACATTGAGGCGTCGCCAATCTTTTATCAGTTCACCTATCTGCTCGTTGAAAGTTAAAAAGGAAGAGTAGAATACATTGATATAAAGAGCAAACATGTCACGTACCTGCCCGTTTTCATTTGATCTCACCATCGACACAATAACGCAATCCTTATCCCTCCCTTGACTACGATCCACAGTAATCACCTCCACGCCCTTACCACCCCTGCCTTCCAGCATCGATACCAAGAGCTTGAGCTGCTGTCGATACAGAGAAATCACTCCGACTTCCCCCACAGGGACGCCGCTCAGCAGAAGCGCCTCCACTAGCTGCGCTACGAGGTAAGCTTCTACAGGATTCTGGATCAACGAACCAACAACTTCATCACGAGCAGGAATGAGGTCTGTGTCGATGAAGGTAATGTTGCAACTGTAGACGAATGCGAATGTACCTTGATGATTAAGGATAAATGAATAAAAAGACTTACCTCTCTTCCAAGACCTTTCCAATCCAACAATTCCCTATAGGACATATACACCCCGTTCCTCTATTTAAGCTCTTCAAAAAGCTATTATCTGGTAATTTTAGTGTCTGGCGTGCTACCTCTTCCGAGCCACACTTGAGTCGTCCGCTGTAGATGAGAGTGTTTGAAAGGAGCATGATATCAGCATTCATGCGGTACTGATGCGTAAGGTCTGCGACGGAGTGCGGGTGCGCGTTGGAAAGAAGACGAAAAAGGGAGGTATCAAGGCCATTTTTCCGTGCGGTTACATTACGAACCTGGTAACTGGTGGGTATGTAGAAAAGAAAGAGATAGGGAAAGACTTACGAGGGGGGGAAGTTGGAAGTGATCCCCGACAAGAACAAATTTATCTGCAAAACGAAGGGGACCAATGCATGTAGGGAGTGTGATCTGAGAGGCTTCATCAACGATGCAGTAATCAAACGTCCTACGCGAGAACAGAGCACTTGACAATGTCGTGTCGTGAGCGTGATTGCCATCCGCTAGACAAAATACAACGTACTGATCTATGGACAGACATGTTGTAGCCACGACAGGAGGCGTCATGATCTGGTGTTCCATTTGTTCAATTGTTGTCGGTATCTTTCTCCCAGCAAGCGTGAGTTTGCGTACATCTGGATGCACCTGTCATGGGTATGTGGACTCTCAATCACGCACGCAGAAACCACATATCGAGTCTTCGCACCTTGTCTACGTTTCCCAACCTCAAAATACCAAAATCATCATCCTTCACCTTGAGTAAAATCGTATCAACAGCAGAATGCGTGTACGACACTACCAGCACCGTCTTTCCCATCCCAACCAATGTCCGCAACAGTGCAGCAATCACCGTTGTCTTCCCTGTTCCAGGCATCCCCAGAACCAGAGCATAGTCACGCGCACTCAATACCTTCATCATGGTCGCTAATTGACTCTCATTTAGGATAGATGTTGCTGATTTGAATTCAGGGACCGATCTCAACAGTTCCAATGTCTTTTCCTCCTCATCAAAGACTGGCCGTTGGAGGTCGACGACGAGCGACAAGCGGCGCGAATCTCCGTCGGCATAGAAGAGCTGAGCAAGGTTATCGCGGAGGCGTCCCAAGCCCCCAGACATCTCATCTTTGTCAATTCGGAAAATAATATTTTGACCGTGAGGCACTTGTTTGAATTTCAGCCGTTCTTTGATCTTTTTAACGTCCAGCTCGTGGTCAACGCCTACCACGATGTCGTGTGGAGTCAACTCCAAAATAAACCCCCGAGCGAGCGCGAGTAGGTCAGGTTCGACCGAGACAGTGATCGCATCGCCGCTATTCATATGTCCCTCTAGCAGATTACTGTTCCCTGCTCTCATCCTCGACTCTCGAACGAAGCGGTATGTGCATCGATGAATATTGCCGCCTTTTTGCGTTGCTTGGGGAACTGGGTTTGGAACATAAGATAGATCAATAACCATGGAGCCAAAACATCTGCCCCTCTCTTCACGTTCTTGGGCATGAAGTGTCCAAAGTTCCTTCCTAAATCTGACAATATCATGTTCCTCGAGGGATATCAGGGCCTCCCATTTCTTGAAAAATGCAGACTGAGAAGGAGTTAAGTGTGAGGTTTTCAGTTCGTAAATATCGGCGATCGGCGAATCCACGTCTATGACGTTCTCTACAGCCTTTCGATAGAGCATGCAAGTGTCGACAGCGTAGCATTTCTTGCATATCCATTCGTCATCGATTGTAGGAGGTAAGAAAGGCTCCGTCGAAGGCGACCATTGATCATCTGGTTTACCTTTCCTATGCGGATTATTGCGTCGCATTGTATAACTCGCCATATCGTTCCGTGCACCGAGCAGCCCTCGAAGCTCGTTTCTACTTCGTGGCACACGCACCACTTCTTCAGTTTGGGTGTAATACAAAAGGCCACTTGGCACGTCGACGCCATAACGTTCCGCTGCTAGCAGAGTGTACAGCATCGTCTGTGCGCGATGCTCCATACCTGCAACAGCGCGGCCTGTTTTGATTTCAAAAGGCATGGTATGGCTCTTGAGCATACCCTGGATCGCTTTTCCCGCCTTGTTATCAGTATTTTCAACGATGACTGCTTGAACGCTCGCATCAAGCTTGCCCTTCAGCCCATACGTTGGTGACCAGATATCTTCTTCTATTTCGTGTAGTTTGGAAACGGCGAGGAGGGATGTTTGATTATAGGCAGCTCGAGTGTTGGTAAGGACAGCGTCGGACTGATGCAGTATATGTAAACAAACAGACGGAAAGAAGAAGAAATTTGACACAAACTTTTGGGATATCTGCTATGTATCGCTCGGAAAAAACACGTAACCCTTTCGATCGTGCTTTGACTTCTCGTTTTGCTTCATCAACTCCGAGGCCAATTTTCACGAGTTCGGCAAGGCCATTCCTCACAACCTCGTCAATACGTTCGTCAATCCAGCGCTCGTCCCATCTCTGTGAAACCATACAAGCCTGCATGACCTCGTGGAGCATACTTCCCCAAACAAGAGACGGCGTGATATCGGAGGTCGAACGGACAAGGGTCGTCAAGAGTGGCTTTCTGCGGCACTGTGGGGCATTAGAGATTGCAGTTGCGGTGATCAGAAGGTCTGGGTGGAGGATGAGGGTATTATGCTTAGACGATATCGTGATAGATCTGTTCGTCGAATCGAAATTTCCTAGAACGTTGATTGTATCACCTATAAGGTATAATGAGGGCTCAATGAGGATATGAATGGGCACTGATACTCACCGGGACGTACATCCGTGTTTGCCCAGTCATCACGGAGGATAACTGTGCGATGCTCGCCGTCTGGCTCGAGTTTAACTTTCAGAACCTAAATTTCCTATGTTAGCGCCTCCGTGATCCTGGCGGCAGCAAATAGACGAACCTTCTCGAAAACGCTGGCTGATTCGTCTTGCTTCACAGTTTCTACGATACAGCGAGTACACGTATCCTGAGCATATTCTGGTGCAGGAAGAATAAAAGGCTTGTAGAAAGTAAGCTGATAGTACTAATGGAGAGTGGCCAAAATACACACCTTCGCAGCTTTTGAACGGTCTTTCTTGGGAGTAAGGAAATCTGCTTCCATATCCTCCCAATCCCAGTTTTCTGCCCCATCAAGGAGTTCTGCGACATTAAGGCTGTTGACAGGGACAGACGTTGCGGTATTTCGAGGGGGTCTTTTTGAAGGGGATGATCTCCTACACGCCCTCTTGTCGAGTACGAGGTAAGACCGATGGTTAAGCGTTATTTAAATTACATACCAGTGGAGTTCTTGTAGCATTCTTTCTAGGAGTGAGAAATTCGGCTTCCATGTCATCCCAGTCCCAATCTTCTGCGCCATGTACAAGTGTGGCCAAATCCAACTCGGGCCGTAGAGTGGCTTTTTGGCCTAGTGGGGACCTTTTCTTAACTGGTGACGGCCTCCTCTTTACTGGTGTCTTTGCTGTTTTATATGTAGATGGGCCTGCACTAGTCATCTGGCTATCAAGCCCTGAAAGTAAGCTGTTCATGAAAGCATCTTCGTCGATATCATTGGGTGTCACTGGAGGCATCGCTGGCGGGTTTCCTTTGTTTACGAATGAAAGAAAAGAAGATATTAGGAAGATATGTTAGAATTGAAGGTTTCCTTTGAGACTTCGTGGAAAGAATCAACGTGTTTCTGTGCTTGCATTTCTTACGCGACGCGTTTGATTGCTCTAGTTTGTGTGAACCACTGTATAAACCCTAACCTCACACTAAGTTCTGCAGGAAAAGATGCCCACAACGCAGCAAGATTAGACACCGATAGGCAGTCATCTTAAGTAAGACTTATAATTAAAGTAAAGGAAAGTGTCCATTTATGTTGACGGATATGAGTGTGCTAAGAAACAGAACGGATGTCCTTCAAGATATGAGTGAATTGTACCTATGCGATCGTTCTCCAGAAACGTCAAACATCACTGCTCGTGCCCTCTCAATACAGCGATCATTTAAAGCAATGCAGCACCTAGTATGACCCCACCTATCGTTACACACATATTGACCAGTGTCCTCGTGTTGCTCCAATCTATCGCCACGGCATTAGCCACACCAGCATTCGAGGTTGCCGGACCAGTTACGGAGGTTGTAGGTGCCGTGCTCGTGCTCGCTAATGAACTTGTCGGTGGAGGCGAGGGGAAAGTGAGAGATGTGCTATAATTGGCTAGATTGCAAAATTGTTGTGCGAGAGTCTCTGCCTGTTTGATATTATTATAACATTGTTGGGCAACACACGAGACAATAGAATTTGTAAAGTTTGTGCTATATTTTACTTCTGGTCAGTGGGATCAATCAAGTATGAGGAACGAATACAACACACTTATTGCAATAGCAATTGACCGAAACGACACTGGTACAGTTCGCATTAGAGGTAGCAATTTCGAGACATTGTGATACTATCAAATGAATTCATCAGTACCGCAACAAAAAAGAGAAAGGACTCGGTTGTAAAAGGTTGAGTGGCTATAAATACACAGGGGCAATGCATGACCTCATCCAGTGACGAAGCACATGTACTATCCCATTAAGGTGCCAATGCTCGACGTTCATTCAACACTGCCAATAATACTCACCGCAAGTTGGGTACCCACTGAGGCTGGGATAGTTGGCAGAGCTAGTAGTCGTGATGGAAAACGTTCCATTCGGAGAACCGCTTATCAAAGAACTTGCCCCACTGAGCGATGTGATTGAGCTACCAGATGCAGACGTCGAACCAGACGCAAGTGTTGATGTAGTAGGGGTGGGATTCGAGGCTGACTGCAGGCTGCTGGTGCTCCCTTGAGCCAATGCGAAAGCAAGAAAGGACAGAATCACGAAAACAGTACGTGAATGCACGTGCATCGCCGCAAAAGATGATGATAGGGTATTAGAGGGAAAGCCAGGGAAATATCAGCCGGACTGGTATGAAGAAGGATATATAATCGAATGAAACGCTTGTCTCCTTTCTTTTCCGTCCAGGAATTACGGAGTTGAACGCAAGACGCCGAGGTGACGTTAGCAGCGATATCTGCAGTGGTGAGCGCTTGAACGAGGTGAAATAAAGCAAGTTGCGGGGGAGGAACGTAAAGAAAATAGCAATGAGGCGACAGAAAACTAGAGGGAATTGATTACAGTAAGAAATTCGTTGTCTGCGAGCAGACAACTGCTGTGGGGTGGAAACGAGCGGCTCTGATCACGTAATCCTATGCCACGGACTTTTCTCCTTCATCATTCAACGTTCAACGTTTGATATCGTGCTATCATTTCTGCACTCGTCCAGGAGCTCCTCTTGACAAATGTGACCACTCAGTCCTATATAACTTGCAATTGCGCACTATGAAACTAACCAGCAATGTTACACGGTGATATTGCCTATCCCCATACCTTCACCACGCCACTGGGAGTGCGCAACTTTGAGGATGCGCACATTCACTTGAAAGGAGAACCCTTACATTGTGGTATCCTCTTCGCTAATGGATGATCGATCATCACCCGTTCCTTTCATTCTTTTGTTGTTTTCCCTGGCATGTCCATCATGTTACGAAAGTATTGCTATGGTGTCTAGTCGCCACCCACTACATTAAACAAGGTGTCAACAACAATGCCCGTGACCACTGAGCGTTTCCAGGGTCTTCAACTGTATATAAATCCTTTACTCGCATTCTGGTCGCACACATTTTTCTCTTCCTGCCATCATATCATACACCATGGGCGACAAACAATCCGAGCCAGACACAGACTTCTACGGTGATAAGCCACTTCCTCATTCTAATGGCATCGGCCTCTCTGCCTCTGGGTTGTCCAATGACCGCAGAAAACTGCTTGATCTCATCAATCGTCTTCATAGTACAGGGTATGTTTTTCATTGAACAATCCACGCCAATACCTCACTGAAAACATGGAAATTCCAGCGTTCAGATTGATATGGATCTGCCCATGATAGCAGTCATTGGTGTGCAAAGTGCCGGAAAGTCATCTCTCATCGAGGCTATATCTGGTGTTACTCTACCTCGTTCGTTGGGAACTTGCACCCGGTAATTATTAAAGTTATGTATTGAAAATATTCTAATATCTCTTGCCACATTATAGTTGTCCGACGGAATGCAGGTTATCACAATCCAACCAACCATGGAAATGTGTGGTATCTCTCCGTTTCATCACTAATGCGCTTGGCCAGCCCCTCGGTCAAGTCCGCAACGAGAACTTTGGAGATACAATTACAGATAAAGCTGACGTTGAGGACCGAGTTCGAAGGGCACAACACGCGATTCTTAACCCAGATAAACTTGCATCGACTTACCTCACAGGAACATTGGCATCAGAAGAGAGAGGATTATCCTTTTCTCAGAATTGCGTCTGCCTAGCTATCAGTGGTCCAGAGGTCGCGGATTTGTCGTTCTGCGATCTACCTGGCTTAATTGCCACTGCTGGTCAGAGTGGAGATGCTAGCGATGTCGAGCTAATCAGAACTCTTGTATCTTCGTACATCGAAAAGCCCAGTTGTGTCATTCTTTCTACTGTCGCATGTGAAAGTTTGTATTTTTACACCTTTTTTTAATTCATTGGCAAGTCAACTAACGTGTAGTACAGCCGATTTCGAGATACAAGGTGCACATGACCTAGCGAAAAAATTGGATCCTCAAGGAACACGCACAGTTGGTGAGTTTTTCACGGGTCTTGGTTGCGTTGGTTGCCACTAAGGTGCTATTTCTCAGGTGTTCTTACGAAACCCGACCGCATACCGCCAGGCGAAGAATATCGATGGATGGAATTCATCAAGGATGAACGAGAACGCCTTATAAATGGATGGTATTGTGTGAAGCAGCCAGATGCGAGAAGTCTAAAAGATGGCCTTACATGGGAAGGCGCGAGAAAGCGAGAAAACGATTATTTCATGACGCAACCATGGACCTCGCTTTCTCCGATGTACCAATCTCACCTGAGGACCAGCAACCTCACTGCTCGTCTAAGTGCTATCCTGTCCGAACTAATTGCATCAAGGTATGGACACCAAGAACACTGTATACAGAATTCTGACACATGCATCATAGATTACCTGGGATACACCAGGAGCTGTATAACCTTATCAATGGAACAGATGTTGAACTTCGTAAGCTTCCAAAAGCGCCATCAGCGGATGCTGCAGGAGAGGTCTTGGAAGTCGTCAATGGCTTTACACGGGCGCTGTCTCGCCGGCTTGAAGGAACACCAGATGAAGATGGTTTATTGCAAAAGATACGACCTACACAAAATAAGTTCAAACGAGCCATACGCGCCACTGCTCCTGAATTTTTCCCATTTGGGAAAGGAGAAACATCAGAGGTATCGTCAGTTCCAGACTTTATTGCTAACGAGGAGGACGACGATTTGACCCCGAATTCCAAACGTCCTGCCCAAAGCCCATCTGAATCTTCAGAAAAGACGATTTATGTCGAAGACGTACTTGCCCGTGCTCAAAAGTAAGGGCTCAATGCCAAGTATTTCGTGGTTGTGTTGCTAACCTGTGTATTCGTAGAGCACGCACTAGAGAATTACCTGACAATTATCCCTTCGTGGTGCAAAAAGAGTATATCATGCAATGCATAGATCAATGGCACATCCCTGCTTTGTCATTTTTTGATTCTGTCTACGAGATATTAAAGGAAGATCTCGAAAGTATAGTGGGTGAGCATTTTGGTAACTTGGGGCGGGGTGCCTTGCAACACTCTATCTCGTCAGTTATTTATTCGACGTCTTGCATATTTTATCGTTCTCATTGTGTTTTAGGGTAACGGTCAAGGACCACCTTGATTCCTGTGCTAAAAAGACTCGACAACACATCGAATGGCTTCTTGAGGTCGAGAAATCGCCGAATACCCTCAATGTGCATTATTACTCCGATTACAAGGATAAATTTTTGTCTTTCTATAAAGGCCGTCGGAACGACCAGAGTCATGGTAATACTTTAGAGAACCTGAGATCTTTCAGATCTGTACAAGGCTTTCCAACAACTTTCGAATCAGCTGTTAACAAAGCTATATCTGGGCTCAGTGATATGGGTATCAGTGGTATAAACCCGGCTGATCTAGCCAAACTCCTTCCTGTAGACCCGATGGAACCTGCCCTCGTTATCATGGCTGGCGTCCGAGCGTACTTCCAGGGTATGTTTTGAGTGTCTCATTGTTAGATCTTCGCCTTATTCAATGTTTGCGTTTCAGTATCTTACAAACGTTTTGCGGATATAATACCGATGGCCGTGGATCACGACCTCGTGCTAGGTTTGGAAAAGGGCATTCAGAAAGCTATCATCGAAGACCTTCAACTCACGGGTCCAGATGCCCAGGAGCGGTGTCGTTTACTACTCCAGGAACAATCTAGCATCAGAGTGCGGCGTGAGGAGCTGGAAAGGAAGAGGGAGAGACTGAATACAGCTAAAGAAGAAATCCGACATCTAGGCTTCTGACCAGAGAAACTGTAAGGTGAGCTTAGCCTTTTCGAAAAGAACGTGTAGGCTGATTTCGGTCGAACCTTAGAATCATGTTGGCGTATTGTACATCTATCTGGAACACGTGTAACTTTGTTGTGTTGCTTAAAAGAATACACCTATAAATGTAAAGGCTCGCACTTTTTATATTTATGTGGTGAAGAATGCTTGATATGAGCCCGTCTATCTTCGCAGTTAGGCAAGTCAATTCTAGTGGATCTTTCAGCGTCGAACAGTCACAGAGTCTTGTCATTGCGGGCCGAGCGTCCAGTGTACTCCCTTTTTAGATCGAGTTCAGCTTCAAGCGGTTCACCATCATTTTTCTCTAACGTTCGTGAAATGACCTGCTAGTTGTTGCAATTGTGTAGCTCTGAAATCGAAGTCGTTGCTGCAACTGGTATCTGATGAGGTAACATGCTCGATAAGCGTTCTTGATAATATAGGGTAGGTGGATTTACTTTTGGCCCTTTGATTTCCAGCTAATTCTTCTTTTGTGGATTTATTCGAGGAGTTATTCATAATTGGCGAGTTGTCCAGAAGATCTGTCCATCTTTTCGAACAATGCAGTGTCGCAGCAACTCGGTTGCTGCCTATCTATGCACATTTAGAGAACATATGGAGCTTGGTAATGGCACACATCCACTCGAAAAGGAAGATCCGCTCTTCAGTGCTTTTATTGTGACTTCTTTCTACGACTGGATGCTCAGCGCTCAATGATCATCGACTCCTTTTTACTCGCATGGTTTTGTTGTTCTTCGCTTCAAATGTCAGTTGCATTACAGGTTTACTGATATTGTGCCCAGCTCCATCCTACACCAAACAAAGAGATCCACAGTGCTTCACATGGCACATCGGCCTCTCCAAGATGATTGGCTGACGTGTAGTGCAATATAAACTTTCCATCCATGTCCTGGTCGTGTCCAGCTCCTCTCTACCATAGTATTCAGTATGGGTGACCGAATGTCAGACCAAGATACCGATGTGGATTTTTATGATGTTAACGACGCACACCCCATCAGTTCCAATGGGGTAGGTCTCTCTGCGGCTGGTCTATCCAAAGAGCGTAGAAAACTGCTCGATCTCATCAATCGTCTTCATAGTACAGGGTATGTTTTTCAATGAACAATCCACGCCAATACCTTACTGAAAACATGAACTTCCAGCGTTCAGATTGATATGGATCTGCCCATGATAGCAGTCATTGGTGTACAAAGTGCCGGAAAATCATCTCTCATCGAGGCTATATCTGGTGTTACTCTACCTCGTTCGTCGGGAACTTGCACCCGGTAATTATTAAAGTCATGTATTGAAAATATTCTAATATTTCTTGCCATGTTATAGTTGTCCGACGGAATGCAGGTTATCACAATCCAACCAACCATGGAAATGTGTAGTTTCTCTTCGCTTCATCACTAATGCGCTTGGCCAGCCCCTCGGTCAAGTCCGCAACGAGAACTTTGGAGATACAATTACAGATAAAGCTGACGTTGAGGACCGAGTTCGAAGGGCACAACACGCGATTCTTAACCCAGATAAACCTGCATCGACTTACCTCACAGGAACATTGGCATCAGAAGAGAGAGGATTATCCTTTTCTCAGAATTGCGTCTGCCTAGCTATCTGTGGCCCAGAAGTAGCTGATCTATCTTTCTGTGATTTACCTGGCTTGATAGCCACCGCAGGTCAAGGTGGTGATGCCAGTGATGTCGAGCTAGTCAGAAGTCTTGTATCCTCATACATCGAGAAGCCCAGTTGCGTGATCCTTTCTACTGTCGCATGTGAAAGTTCGTATTCTTGCATTCATTTTGCTACGTCACGAGTCGTCTAATGTGTATCTCAGCCGATTTCGAGATACAAGGTGCACATGATTTAGCTAAGAAGCTGGACCCTCAAGGAACTCGGACCGTTGGTAAGTACTTATTAAGACTCTGCATCGTTAATTACCATTAAGCTGTTGTTTCTCAGGTGTTCTTACGAAACCCGACCGTATACCGCCAGGCGAAGAATATCGATGGATGGAATTCATCAAGGACGAAAGAGAACGTCTGATAAATGGGTGGTATTGTGTCAAGCAGCCTGATTCGAAGAGCTTAAGAGAGGGCCTCTCATGGGCAGGTGCCAGGAAAAAAGAGAATGATTATTTCGCAACGCAGCCATGGACCTCACTTCCGCCAATGTATCAGTCCCATCTACGGACCAGCAACCTCACGGCGCGCCTCAGCACAATTCTATCTGAGCTAATAGCGTCAAGGTATTTATTTGACAATGTCCTCACGATTCGCTGACACGCATATGTTGTAGGTTACCTGGAATATACCAGGACTTGTATGACCTCATTGATTCGACTGATATGGAACTGCGTAAACTCCCGAAAGCGCCTTCAGTGGATGCTGCGGGGGAGGTTTTAGAACTTGTCAATGGCTTTACGCGAGCACTGTCTCGGAGGCTAGAAGGAACACCGGAGGAAGATGGCTTATTGCAAAAGATACGACCGACGCAAAGTAAATTCAAGCGAGCTATCCGCGCCACCGCCCCTGAATTCTGTCCATTTGGGCTTGGAGAGACATGGGATGCTATCCCAGGATTTATCGCCAATGAGGAGGATGGTGACCCTATTTCAAGCTCCCAAAGCAAGTGACCAACAATTTATATCGAAGAGGTACTTGACCGTGCTCAAAAGTAAGCCTTGAATCTTCAAACTTGTCATTATTCTATCACCTACCTGTACATTTGTAGAGCACGCACCAGGGAATTACCCGACAATTATCCATTCGTGGTGCAAAAAGAATACATCATGCAATGCATAGACCAGTGGCGTAATCCTGCTCTGTCTTTTTTTGAGTCGGTCTACGAGATTTTAAAGGAGGATCTTGAAAACGTTGTTGATTATCATTTCGGTAACTTGGGGCGGGGTGCTTTGCAAAACTCCATCTCGTCAGTTTTATCAAAATCTCAAACGCCCTAACAATTCTCACTGTGTTTTAGATTAACGGTGAAAGATCACCTGGACTTATGCGCTCAACAGACCCAACAACACATTGAGTGGCTCCTTGCAGTCGAAAAGTCTCCGAACACTCTCAATGTGCACTATTATTCTGACTACAAGGACAAGTTTTTGTCTTTTTATAAAGGCTGTCGTAATGATCGGAACCACGGAAGTAGCCTGGAGAGTTTGAAATCTTATCAGACTTCGCAGGATCCGCATTATGAAGACGCAGTCAACAATGCTTTATCCGCACTGAACGAGATGGGTATCAGTGGCATACAAGCAGCTGATCTTGCAAAACTATTCCCTGTGGACCCAATGGAACCCGCCCTCATCATCATGGCTGGCGTTAGAGCGTACTTCCAGGGTATGTAGTGCCCACTACTAGATCATTTTGCTTTTTAAGTTTTATTTCCCAGTGTCCTACAAGCGTTTTGTGGACATAATACCATTGGCTATAGATCACGACCTCGTGTTAGGCTTGGAAAGGGGGATTCAGAAAGCTATAGTCGAAGACCTACAGCTTACAGGTCCAGATGTCCAGGAGCGATGTCGCTTCCTTCTGCAAGAGCAGCCCGGCATCAGGTCGAAGCGTGAAGAGTTGGAGAGAAAGAGGAAGAGACTCAATACCGCTAAGGAGGAAATACGACATCTTGGTTTCTGATTGGAAGGTTTAGCTTAGCCTTTTCGGCTTGAAATGTACATGTTAAAACTCAGACTCGTAGTAGGCTGTGCATCGTTGTCAAAAATTTTATCTCACAGAGAGCGACTACTGTCGTTCCCAGTCAGTCAGTTCGTATTTGAGGTACAATTCGGACACTATCTGAAAACACCATATAGCACTTAGTACTTACTTTAGTTATTTTACCAGAAGACACCACTTGTAACACACGAATAACAATAGAGACTGTGATGAAAGTCTTTGACAGATCTCTTGTGTCTTACAAGTGCAAGGAGGACCTCATTGCCATAGCCGGTGCTCTTGGTTTACTGATTGATGGGACAGTCAAAGCCCTCATTGAAGAGATCAAGTCTCACCTTCAAGGACATAAGGAGTTAGCAGATAACCCCCGGTGTGCTGGCCTTTTTAGCCGTCGTGTTCAGGCCCCTGAGGGTTCTAGTCACTTCGGACAATCATCCCAATCACTAGTGTCAACTCATCTACTGCGTTTTCCCCCCAGTCTGTCCAGACTCCATATTTTATGGCCACACAATCGCAATTTCCTGACCCCACATTTTACAATGGTTTCTCTGGCCCAGGCTGTAGTACTCCTGGGCCCTCATATAACTTCAATATCTCTGAGTGTGTTTTACCTCCCCCAACTGATGAAAATGGTGTGACAATTACATATTATAATGAGTTGGGTCAACCATTGTCATGCACCAAAGTTGATTGGTAGCATGGACAGGTGTCAATAACAAAGCGAATATTCAAAAAGACTCGCCTTTGCGCCACACAGGCACAGTGCCACGTGGAATAGTAATCAATATTGCCTTTTTCGAACTTGTGGCTGATCAGCACCACCTCCATTAGGCAATCCAGTCATGCTCACCTTTGCTTTTCCATTCGGTACTTTCCGCGTTTCAGCATTTCGGCAAATTTTTGTGTCGCCACTGGCTACACATTGCATTGTGCCCTCGCTTTTTGTTGTTTCCTTCACTTCCCTTCCTTTGCCTAGCCCCACCATGGGTCCCTTACTCTCGTTTTTGTTCTCACCCGACGGTCGTTTCTGGATCCCCATTTTAGTTCACCTCCTTGTCACCTCCAGCCTCCTTCTCCTCATCTTATTTGCACCCCCACCATTTCTGATGTCACCACTTCCTATCCGCTTCCGTCGCCGATCCGTTGACTACCACGTGCCACTGCTGATATCAGCAAAGCCCCGGCGGCCGGTCCAAATAGGGCAACAGGTCCATCTTCATGACGTCGATCTGCCATCATATACCACCAAAACATCGGTCGCTCGTCTTGCCTGGTTGGAGTGTGGGTGGGTAGTTTTTGAGCTGGAGAAGGTTCATCCCCTTGCATTGCCTATGTTCATTGCTGTCCCATTCACTTGGGTACACTTATCTTTTGTCCATCGTCTTCGCTACAGCTACACCTACCACACGCTGCCTGGGACTCACTTGTTCCAAATTGGAACTACTCCTCTCCCTCCCTCGTTTGATCAGGTGGTCCAACACAACCAGTCCATTGGTAAGGCCATGGAACTGTCGGATTTGGACTAGGTGGTGGACTGGTGGCTCCAGTTTCTTTTTTTAAGCAGAACATTCATTTACAGTGCGATTATTTTTGATTTTTGAATCATTTTTATGGACACATATTTTTTTAGAATGCCTGACTGACAATAAAGGAACTGTGTTGATACTGATAGTGTTTTGCCTTGCCCTTTTTTTTACTGTATCTTCCCATGACATCATGATTTTCCTGCTCTCTTTTTGCTATTGGACTTTACTTTATGGCTGTACAAACCTGTGACATTACTCACAGCATTCATTGTTCAATCCCTTTCTTTTCCTTTTTTTGACAATCTTATCCTGTACTACCTATGCAGGATTTGTCAGCGTACATTCCTTCCTTCATGTTCTTTCTCATTCTTTTTGCACAGCTATACTGTGCATAGCCTACTTTTCTTTTACTATATAAACCCCTGTATTTTACCTTGTAAAAAAAACAAGTACTCCAATCCAGACTTCTTCTCTACTCTCAAGTTCACTACTCTGCTACTTGTGATCCAGTGTGGTCACAACACTTTCCACTTCTACCACTGTTAACTGCTGTCATTGTCACTCGTCACTTTTTGAAAGTGATTGTCATCCCCTTTGATTAGAGTCCTTCTGAGCACTACAGTTTGTGCGTCAGGAGCCTGCTATCACTGGGAACCTCGTCACCTCGTCATCCTTGTTGTTCTCAAACCTACTTTGTGCTACAATTAGCAAGATAGTGCTCATATATACTCGTCACTAAGCCCCTATCTTCTATAAATTCAACTATCCCTCCTCCTCAAAACCCACACTCATACATCTCTGGGTTTTACTTTGAAGGATCTTCATATATACCACCCCACAAACAACCAGAGCACCCACTGTTCTAGGAGGCAAAGCCCATAAACAAGTTCCATGGAATCTGGGAGGATTGTTTGTTAGTTTGTTTTTGTGTGTGGTTTTCTAACAACAGTTCTCATCATCGACAATTGGAGCCCACCGCGAGGGGTGGTTTCCTTCAAGCTAAATACCAACCATTTCATCGCCATCACTGTCTAATTTATCATCTACACCTTCTATCTCACCCACCGCTTTATCTGTCCCATCCCTGTCTTCCAGTAACTCAATTTCTGTACCAGCTTCTACTCAGCAAGCTTCACATTTACCCCCTATACTTTTCACTATGAATCAACCTACTACTCTCTCAGTCATCACTATGCCAATTCCTGGCACTCGTTATGCTCCTAAGAAGTTCAAGGGAGACTATACTCGTGTCAGGGATTTTGTTCTCCACTATGAGCGCATCTGTCATGCAAACAATGTCACTGCTGACGATAAAAAATGCTCAAGCATTCTCCAATACTGCTCCACATATGTTTGCGAATTTATTGAAGGAATGAAGCACTTCACTACACACTCATGGAACAGTCTCAAAGACGAAATTCTCCAGTACTTTGATGCTGCAAAAGCAGAGGCCAAATTTAAAGAGCATCATCTTAAACAGCTGGTCGATGCTTCGCACAAGAAGAAAATGGGCTCTCTGGATGATTTCAAGAGCTACATGAGGAAGTATGTTCGCATTGGTGGATGGCTTCTTGCCAAATCCAAAATCACTCAGGACATATTCAATCGCTCCTTCTGGAAAGGACTACCCAAAACCCTTCATCATTGCGTTAAAAACAGACTTCTACAGACAGATCCTACCCTTGATCTCTCCCAGCCTTTTGTCTTTGATGATGTTGTCAAGGCTGTAGAGCATGTCCTTTGCAGAGATCGCTTTGATGATGAAGATTTTGACTCTGATGATTTGGATTCAGACTCGGATTCAGAGAACTCTTCCAGTTCTTCGGACGATTCTTCTGACTCTGACAAAGAGGAAGAACCACCTTGTTATATCAGGAAAACCACCAAGCAGAAAAAAGAGAAAAAGTGCACCTCTGAGACAGAGAAAGAGAGAAAGTTGTTGAGTCCTTCCAAGTCGAAGAAAACCCTTCACTCTTTAGACGAAGAAGAGCACACTGCTGTCAAACAGGATGAAGTAGAAACCTTTATCAAGAAGTTGGGTTCTATGACAATTGAAGGTCCTAACTATCCTCTGCTCTAATATTGTGCTATCAAGCTTGACACTGATGCTCGGCTTATACTTTGCCCTCCCACTTTCATGAACCAGTCAGCCAGACCATCTCAATCCTCTCAAGGAAGCAGCAACTTACCCACTCAGCCTACTGCTCCACCCACTGCCACTCTGCCTACAGCACCTTGTGTTCCCTTCCTTTGCTATGGATGCAGAAAAACTGGTCATGGAGTTAATGAATGTGTAGATATGCTTGACTTATGTCAAAGGGAATTGTTAAGAAGGATGACGGATCTTCCACAACTCTGTCTTCAAACAATTTGGATTACACAATAAACCCATATCCAACAGAGGACCACAGTTCGCCTCCGAAGTATCCAAAGAACTCCACAAACTCCTGAACATTGAAACCGCACTCTCTACAGCATATCATCCACAGACAGATGGACAGACGGAATGATCCAACCAAGAACTGGAGATCTACCTCCGCATATTCTGCCAAAATCAACCACATAGCTGGGCAAAGTACCTTACTACTGCCGAATTCTGCCACAACCAACGACCTTTAACTAGCCTCCCTATCACCACCTACACTATACCCGGCGAAGTCAACATGCTAGCCAACGAATGCGTGTCCTTTGCTCGTGGGCAATGACACAACCAAGCTGATGTCTCTGACGCCATAGAACTGATGTCAGCCAAAAATACCTACATCTATTTATTTCACAAAACAGAAAAATTTTACCCCAATGTGTACCACGCTCTTTCTTCCCTGCATACCTTCCTTGCCATAGACCTTGTAGCTGATGAACTCGTAAAAGCCATAGACTCACTATGTTTGTTGGAAAACGAGCATTTGCTGCTCAGTAGTCAGGACTCAAGTATCTGTCGGGCACTCCTGATGGAAAAGTTAATTTTGGAATCTTTGGAACAACGCTTGAGGATGAACTCCTCGAGTGGGCAGACGGACGCAGCAAAGGCATATTTGGAATTAGGCGGTGTCGATGATGAGAACTGTTGTTAGAAAACCACACACAAAAACAAACTAACAAACAATCCTCCCAGATTCCATGGAACTTGTTTATGGGCTTTGCCTCCTAGAACAGTGGGTGCTCTGGTTGTTTGTGGGGTGGTATATATGAAGATCCTTCAAAGTAAAACCCAGAGATGTATGAGTGTGGGTTTTGAGGAGGAGGGATAGTTGAATTTATAGAAGATAGGGGCTTAGTGACGAGTATATATGAGCACTATCTTGCTAATTGTAGCACAAAGTAGGTTTGAGAACAACAAGGATGACGAGGTGACGAGGTTCCCAGTGATAGCAGGCTCCTGACGCACAAACTGTAGTGCTCAGAAGGACTCTAATCAAAGGGGATGACAATCACTTTCAAAAAGTGACGAGTGACAATGACAGCAGTTAACAGTGGTAGAAGTGGAAAGTGTTGTGACCACACTGGATCACAAGTAGCAGAGTAGTGAACTTGAGAGTAGAGAAGAAGTCTGGATTGGAGTACTTGTTTTTTTTACAAGGTAAAATACAGGGGTTTATATAGTAAAAGAAAAGTAGGCTATGCACAGTATAGCTGTGCAAAAAGAATGAGAAAGAACATGAAGGAAGGAATGTACGCTGACAAATCCTGCATAGGTAGTACAGGATAAGATTGTCAAAAAAAGGAAAAGAAAGGGATTGAACAATGAATGCTGTGAGTAATGTCACAGGTTTGTACAGCCATAAAGTAAAGTCCAATAGCAAAAAGAGAGCAGGAAAATCATGATGTCATGGGAAGATACAGTAAAAAAAAGGGCAAGGCAAAACACTATCAGTATCAACACAGTTCCTTTATTGTCAGTCAGGCATTCTAAAAAAATATGTGTCCATAAAAATGATTCAAAAATCAAGAATAATCGCACTGTAAATGAATGTTCTGCTTAAAAAAAGAAACTGGAGCCACCAGTCCACCACCTAGTCCAAATCCGACAGTTCCATGGCCTTACCAATGGACTGGTTGTGTTGGACCACCTGATCAAACGAGGGAGGGAGAGGAGTAGTTCCAATTTGGAACAAGTGAGTCCCAGGCAGCGTGTGGTAGGTGTAGCTGTAGCGAAGACGATGGACAAAAGATAAGTGTACCCAAGTGAATGGGACAGCAATGAACATAGGCAATGCAAGGGGATGAACCTTCTCCAGCTCAAAAACTACCCACCCACACTCCAACCAGGCAAGACGAGCGACCGATGTTTTGGTGGTATATGATGGCAGATCGACGTCATGAAGATGGACCTGTTGCCCTATTTGGACCGGCCGCCGGGGCTTTGCTGATATCAGCAGTGGCACGTGGTAGTCAACGGATCGGCGACGGAAGCGGATAGGAAGTGGTGACATCAGAAATGGTGGGGGTGCAAATAAGATGAGGAGAAGGAGGCTGGAGGTGACAAGGAGGTGAACTAAAATGGGGATCCAGAAACGACCGTCGGGTGAGAACAAAAACGAGAGTAAGGGACCCATGGTGGGGCTAGGCAAAGGAAGGGAAGTGAAGGAAACAACAAAAAGCGAGGGCACAATGCAATGTGTAGCCAGTGGTGACACAAAAATTTGCCGAAATGCTGAAACGCGGAAAGTACCGAATGGAAAAGCAAAGGTGAGCATGACTGGATTGCCTAATGGAGGTGGTGCTGATCAGCCACAAGTTCGAAAAAGGCAATATTGATTACTATTCCACGTGGCACTGTGCCTGTGTGGCGCAAAGGCGAGTCTTTTTGAATATTCGCTTTGTTATTGACACCTGTCCATGCTACCAATCAACTTTGGTGCATGACAGCGGGAAGATCTTGCTAACAGAGGCGCGCACGCGGATAGAGCAAGACGGTTGTACGGGTACTCCTCCACCCAATTTGTCCCACCGGTCCCTGTTATACCCCGAGCAGACCAGTGTTACCCTGGAGCCCACTTACCACATTGTCACCCAACAACCTCCGTCCACCCTGTCAGTGGAAAAATACATTCCCACCGTCCCAACCAGCCCAATCTCGCAAGAATTGAACCCCTCCAGTCCCTGTTCCATTGGGTCGAACCCAAAACCACAGACGTCCCAGTTGCCTCCGCCTCGACCAGTACCAAACAGCCTATCCCGTCGTCGTCTGATGAACCAACGAGGAGCCCAACATGGCCGGCAAGAAGTGATACTCCAGATCCCCGCCGGCAGAACTCCATTGAAGAGGCAGTCTCATACGTCAGGGAGTCAGAAAAACAGTCCGCCTGGCTGTCCTTCCAATCCAATCAATGTAGACGACACCGACATGATCAACCAGTTGTATGCTGGAACATATGACTTGGAAGGTGACGATCCCCCCACTCCCCAATCCAACACCTCATCTAACACCAGACAAAAATACCACCAAGGTGTTTGCAACAACGCTCCCTATTGCCAAAACTGCGGTTGGAGCAATCATTGCACATACTACTGCAAAGCTGACTACTGCCCCAATTGTGACCGTTGTGCACCGGTGTCATGCACCAAAGTTGATTGGTAGCATGGACAGGTGTCAATAACGAAGCGAATATTCAAAAAGACTCGCCTTTGCGCCACACAGGCACAGTGCCACGTGGAATAGTAATTAACATTGCCCTTTTTGAACTTGTGGCTGATCAGCACCACCTCTATTAGGCAATCCAGTCACGCTCACCTTTGCTTTTCCATTCGGTACTTTCCGCATTTCGGCATTTCGGCAAATTTTCGCGTCGCCACTGGCTACACATTGCATTGCGCCCTCGCTTTTGTCGTTTCCCTTACTCCCCTTCCTTTGCCTAGCCCCACCATGGGTCCCTTCCTCTCCTTTTTATTCTCACCTGACGGTCGTTTCTGGGTCCCCATTCTAATCCACTTGTTTGTCACTTCCACCCTCCTCCTCCTAATCTTATTTGTACCCCCACCATTTCTGATGTCACCACTTCCTATCCGCTTCCGTCGCCGATCCGTTGACTACCACGTGCCACTGCTGATATCAGCAAAGCCCCGGCGGCCGGTTCAAATAGGGCAACAGGTCCATCTTTATGACGTCGATCTACCATCATATACTATCAAAACATCGGTCGCTCGTCTTGCCTGGTTGGAGCGTGGGTGGGTAATTTTTGAGCTGGAGAAGGTTCATCCCCTTGCGTCGCCTATGTTCATTGCTGTCCCATTCACTTGGGTACACTTATCTTTTGTCCATCGTCTTCGCTACAGCTACACCTACCACACGCTGCCTGGGACTCACTTGTTCCAAATTGGAACTACTCCTCTCCCTCCCTCGTTTGATCAGGTGGTCCAACACAACCAGTCCATTGGTAAGGCCATGGAACTGTAGGATTTGGACTAGGTGGTGGACTGGTGGCTCCAGTTTCTTTTTTTCAGCAGAACATTCATTCACAGTGCGATTATTTTTGATTTTTGAATCATTTTTATGGACACATATTTTTTTAGAATGCCTGACTGACAATAAAGGAACTGTGTTGATACTGATAGTGTTTTGCCTTGCCCTTTTTTTACTGCATCTTCCCATGACATCATGATTTTCCTGCTCTCTTTTTGCTATTGGACTTTACTTTATGGCTGTACAAACCTGTGACATTACTCACAGCATTCATTGTTCAATCCCTTTCTTTTCCTTTTTTTGACAATCTTATCCTGTACTACCTACGCAGGATTTGTCAGCATACATTCCTTCCTTCATGTTCTTTCTCATTCTTTTTGCACAGCTATACTGTGCATAGCCTACTTTTCTTTTACTATATAAACCCCTGTATTCTACCTTGTAAAAAAAACAAGTACTCCAATCCAGACTTCTTCTCTACTCTCAAGTTCACTACTCTGCTACTTGTGATCCAGTGTGGTCACAACACTTTCCACTTCTACCACTGTTAACTGCTGTCATTGTCACTCGTCACTTTTTGAAAGTGATTGTCATCCCCTTTGATTAGAGTCCTTCTGAGCACTACAGTTTGTGCGTCAGGAGCCTGCTATCACCGGGAACCTCGTCATATTGTCGTTCTCAAACCTACCTTGTGCTACAATTAGCAAGGTAGTGCTCGTCTATACTCGTCACCAAGCCCCTATCCTTCTATAAATTCAACTATCCCTCCTCCTCAAAACCCACACTCATACAACTCTGGGTTTTACTTTGAAGGATCCTCATATATACCACCCCACGAACAACCAGAGCACCCACTGTTCTAGGAGGCAAAGCCCATAAACAAGTTCCGTGGAATCTGGGAGGATTGTGTGTTAGTTTGTTTTGTGTGTGGTTTTCTAACTGCAGTTCTCATCATCGACACCGGGACATAGTTTCAAATGGTGTCCTATTTGTATGGAAAACAAAGATAGGATTCTAATGGAGGGATTACATGGAGATGTCAGCTATGACGACAGTTACAACATGGATGGAGAAGGTACCAAATTTCGGTGAAATTCAAAGTAAGTAAGGGGGTAATGTTACAATTTCTATTGCCTTTATGGACTACTCATTTTTCCTTAATCATCAGTTATACCATCGGACTGATGACTCATTTCCTTCACGTACATTTTTGTTCTCTTTGCAGATTGTATTACCTTGAATAGTAGTTAGCCCTCAATGGATGAACCTCCCCTAGATAGGACCTAACTCCTATTCAGAAGAAGACCAACTGTCGTTGGAAGAACTCTACTCAGAACTACATCCTCAAACTTGTCTTCGGACAGGTCTCTTGAAACCTCAATGAACCCTCAGACTTTTTAAGCACTTTGTGTGTAACAGGTGTTGTACCACCCCTGTTCTTGCGAGCAGTCCATGCGCTTGTTGATTTCATCTACCAGGCTCAATCCCCCATTCATACTCCGTCATCTATCAATAAATGGTTGCATTGTGAGGCAACGATAAACTATAACAAAAACTAAACCTATCTCCTTCTGCACTTGCAGGGAGTAAGGGTCCAATGAGCTCTTGAGGTCGACAGACGCTAATATAGCGAGTAGAGGACTTTGAGAGGTAAGCTTCAAAGGTTCTTGTTGAGGAGTAAAGCGGGTAAATTCAGTAATAGAAAGCTAAGGAGCTATACATGAATAGGTACGGCTTTATATAGGGAACTGTCCGTTCCTCAGACCGAAAAGAGAATATACGAAAAGTGGTCTGAGGAATTAATCAACCAATAAGAAAAAGGGGAAGCAACTATCGTACGACTTCTGACTTGATTAATCAGCAGGTGAGAGACTTGTACTAATAATAGAAGATTGTCACGCGTGGTCAGGAACCGTATCCTCATGATGAGGTACGATTCTAGATAAGGCGTTATTAGTATTACCAAGCTTTACTGGGGCTTGGAGCTGGTTGGCGAGATGCCTACTACCAGTCCCTACCCAGTGTGCTGGCTAGCTGGGAGCGATGCCCAGTCTCTGATCTGTGATATAAAGTGATAGCGATGGTTAAGAAAGCCTGTGAGGGCTATGAGAAGTAAGATGGCAAAGGATACCTCTAGTCCTAGAGCCAGAGGTGTAACGGGAAAGGCGTTCGAGAACCAAGACATAACAAAGATAAGAAAATAATAAAACGGTCCTTACATTACCCCCCCCTTTTATATTCTTGTCCCAAGAATCTTAGCGCCGCAGTCCGTGAAGCGGTTTGTGATCCAGTCAAAGAGGCGGGGTTTTTCGGTTGTGGTAGTGAAATTTTCGTACGGACGAAATCGTAAAGCGGCGGAGGCGATGACACGTGGGGCGGCAGGGTGTTTGCGGTGGAAGGTGGCAATAAGCGAGGGGGAATTTTTTAAATGGTGATCGGGTTCCCACGTCCTCTCCGTGATCGGGTATCCCTTCCAATGGACGAAGTAATCGAGCTTAGCCCCTTTGAGTTTAGTGGGTCGAGAAGCGATGATTTCTTCGGCTTCGTATTCGACTGCGCCATCAACTTGGATCGGCGGAGGTTTCGAGGTACGAGGTTGATTGGGGAACTCCGGCGTGTGATACGGTGACAAGAGGATTTCGTTGAATACGGGATGGATCGCCTTCCAGGATCTAGGGACGTCAAGGAGATAAGCAGATGGGCCGACTTTTGCTTTTACCGTAAATGGGCCAAATCGCTTGTCATCCAACTTCTTCATCGGTCGATCGGTGGAGATATGAGTTCCCTCTAACCACACCTTATCTCCTTTGTGATATTCTCGTGCTTCCGTGCGTTTCCGGTCATAGTACTTTTTGAGGTTTTGATTCGCGAGTAATAATGATTGCCGAGTTTGTTCGTGTAGTTTCGTCATAGAGGTTGCGAAATCTTCGGCAGCTTGCGAGCGCCCTGAAGGTTTCTGACCGGTTCCTTTACGAGGGTGAGAACCATAATTTACGAAGAAGGGGGTCTGATTGGTCGCAGAGTGGAGATGATTGTTGTACGTGAATTCGGCAATGGCTAGCCAATCCGCCCAGTCGTCTTGTCGGTGATTAATGAACGTGCGTAGGTAGTGTTCTAGGTCTTGATTGATTCGTTCGGATTGCCCATCAGTTTGGGGGTGGTAACCTGTTGACAGGCCGGGTTCAATCCCGAGGGTCTGATAGAAGTCCTTGGTGAAGTTCGACATGAATTGAGGTCCTCTATCTGATATAATTTTTTCCGGGATGCCGTGTAGTCGTATAACCGAATCTCGTAGTTGTTTGGCGTAGCCTAACGAATCAAGAGTAACGTGCGTTGGTACGAAGTGAGCCATTTTCGAGAATCTGTCAACAAAAACCTGGATAGCATCGTATCCGTTTGACTCTGGTAATGCTCCGATGAGATCTGTCGTTATTATCTGCCAAGGACGATCAGGGATTGGGTTGGGATGGAGGGGAGCATGCGGCTTTTGGCGATGCGACTTTGTTCTCTGACATATCTCGCATCCTGCAACATATTTCCTGATATCTCTCCTGAGGCTAGGCCACCAGAATGATCGGTTTACTCCTTCGTGCGTCCTTCTTTCTCCTGGGTGTCCGCTGAGGCTCGTGTCATGTTCTTCTTCGATAATACGTGCCCTCAACTTTGGATCTTGGGGTACGTAGATTTTGTTTTTGAAGGATCCTAACGTCAACTCGTCTTCTTTCTCATTTCCTATCCATACGATTCCGTCTCGTTTCTTCCAAACCTTTGGATCTTCTTTCAACTTCTTCACCACGTAATCATCTAGTTTATGCTGCGAAGCTAGCAGCTCGTCCAGGTAGTGTTCTTCTAACACGTCCTCCATAGTATAAATGTTCGCTTCCGCGAGCTGAGGTAGAAGGACCTGTCCTTCGTTGTCTCTCTCGCCTCTCGGATGGTCTACTCTTCGACTAAGTAGGTCCGCTTTCGTGTTCGCCGAGCCTTTCACATGTTCTAACTTGAAATCGTATCTCGCTAGTGTGTCCATCCACCTAGCTTGTCGTCTGTTTACTTTCTGGGGATCTCTGAAGTAGGTGAGGTTCTGATGGTCGGTGAATATGGTGAACTGGTGTTTAGCTCCCATGAGGAGGTGTCGCCATTCTTCCAACGCATGCATTACCGCTAGCATCTCTTTATCC